TCCCGACTACCTTATACCCGTCACTCGGCTAAAGGGAGTGCGAGGGAGATGGATATATAACATTTTTTTGATTGCGTATAACTTTTTAATGAATGGTCCGATTTGAAAAATGTCTTCTACATTTCGATAGGTATAAGTATACACAACAAAACTGCACTGATACTTCTCGGAAATCTTTAAAGGTGTGGGCGCCAGACAAGTGGCGCCCGGCTGAAATAAACTTGCGCTGCGTAGCTATATGTGCGGAAAATCTCAACATTCTAACTTTTGTGGTTTCCGAGATCTCCCCTTTTTTTTTGGATCTTAAACTTCAGTTTTAAATGGTTTTGAACTCAGTACCCTGCAAGCAAACAGGCGATATTTCGATAGCCTATCGTCCAGAAGTCCCTTTCTAGTAACTTCAGGAAGATAGAAACACGACAGAACACATTTTACAAAAACAAAATATACATCTATCGCGAAGACTCCTCAGCCACTTCTGGACGATTAAAATACGATAGAACACATTTTACAAAAGCAAAAAGGCTCACGATCTTGGAGAAGTAACTACTATGACACTTCTAGGCGACAGAAAGGCGATAGAAAACATTTTACAAAAAATAAATATACATCTATCGCAAAGAAAGATAGAAATACGATAGAACACATTTTACAAAAACAAAAAGGGTCACGATCGTGGAGAAGTAACTTCTAAGGCACTTCTAGGCGATAGAAAGACGATAGAACACATTTTACAAAAACCAAAAGGGTTCAAATCGCGAAGAAGAAACTTCTGAGGCTCTTCTGGACGATAGAATGGCGATAGAACACATTTGACTACCTAAAAAGGGTTGCGATCGCGAAGCAGTAACTTCTGTGACACTTTTGGGCGATAAAAAGGCGATAGAACACATTTTACAAAAACAAAACCAATAGGAAAAAACATCTTCCAATTCACTTCTGGAACTTAAATTGAAGATAGAAAGGAATTTGGTTTTATTTTTTTGAAGTTTTTGGGGTACAGTCCGCTCTTGGCTCTCTCTTTATACCTGAAAACTACCCTTTTTTCTCTTTGACCTACGCACTTTGTATTTTGAATTCGAGCGTCAGTTCGTTTCGAGATTTCTTTGTGATCAGTGCGATTTATTCTGACTTTCTGTGTTTGTAATGAAATGCGTAGTGAAACCGCTTTTTTTAAATATTACATACCGCGTACGGTGGAATATAAATAAACTACAATATTTATTTACATCAAAAATTAAAGTGATTGGAGAAATCGAATTTAAAGCGTGGACGATCAAGGCTGTCATGCGAAAGTAAAAAAATTTCGTGGCGTGAAACTCTGGGCAAACCGAAAACTTAACTATACTTCACTTATTTAATTATTTATTTTTTTTTGTTGTTTTAAAAATTTTTATAGACGGAACACGGAACTGGAATTAAATAAAATAATACAATACCATTTCCTACAAGCTTACGGACCGTGCTTACATACCACAATTTCAATAAATGTGTTGAAAGAATAAACATAAAAAACAAGAAAGGAAGTTAACTTCGGCCAGCCGAATTGTATATACCCTTGCAGATATGCCTACTTAAAATGTTGTTTTTACATTGTCAAAAATTAAAAAGTTACAATGGTTTTTCTATTATTATACCCTTGCAGAGGGTATTATAATTTCAGTCAGATGTTTGCAACGCAGTGAAGGAGACGTTTTCGACCACATAAAGTATATATGTATATTCTTGATCAGCATCAATAGCCGATTCCATCTAGCCATGTCCGTCTGTCCGTTTCTATGCGAACTAGTCCCTCAGTTTTAAAGCTATCGCGATGAAACTTTCCCAAAAGTCTTCTTTCTATTGCAGGTAGTACATATGTCGGATCCGATCCGGCTCGTTACGACATATGTACTACCTGCAATCGTCGCGATGGCTTTAAAACTGAGGGACTAGTTCGCATAGAAACGGAGAGACGGACAGAAGGACAGACGGACATGGCTAGATGTACTCGGCTATTGATGCTGATCAAGAATATATATACTCTTCCAGAAGTGACTTCGGCGACACTTCTACAAGTGACTTGCACGATATCGCATTCGGATCGCCGAAGTCACCCCCGTCGGGAAGAAATGTTTCACTACGGCGGCACTTCTAGAAGTGTCGCCTAAGTCACTTCTGGAAGTGACTTCCGCGATATCGCATTCGGATCGCCGAAGTGACTTTCGCGACACTTCTAGGAGTCACTCAGAAGTGACTTCGGGAAGTGTCGCCGTAGTGGAACATTTCTTCCCGACGGGGGTGACTTCGGCGATCCGAATGCGATATCGCGGACGATCGTTTTCATCTTCTAGACGTCACTAAATAGTGACTTCCGCGATGGAAAATTCTTGCAGGGTAGCTGGTGAAGAACACTGAAATAAATACACTTAGCAAAATGTTTGGTTTTTTTTTAGACAACTAAGTTTTTAAAAAGGTTAAAATTTTTGTATAAAAATTTACTCAGCTAAAGAGAGTGCGAAGGAGTTGGAGATAAAAACTATGATCCACCGCACCTTTTTAACGAATGGTCCGATTTAAAAAATTTCTTCTACATTTCGATAGGTATTGATAAACACCACAAAACTGCATTTTTACTTTTCCGAAATAATGAAATTTTTTAAATCGTATATAAGCGATTGTGGGCGTTAGAGGGGGCGTGGCACCCTTTTGAAACAAACTTGCGCTGCATAGAAATTCCTAGAATCTGCATGCAAAATGTCAATCTTCTACGGACAGACAGACAGACGGACAGACGGACATGGCTATATCGACTCGGCTAATGACCCTGATCAAGAATATATATACTTTATACTTTTGCACGAATACAATATACCCTTTTACTCTACGAGTAACGGGTATAAAAACCATTTTTGTACTGGCCAGTTAATGAATATGCTTGCAAATTTTTATTTTTAGGAAGGCTTCTTTATAGCTTACTTCTTGTTTCATATACTTATTTTAAAGGTTTCAAAATTATTTATCATATGTCGTTTAAATTATTGCTTTATCTCTTTTGGTTTAAAAGATATGATTTATTACCAAAAAAAAAAATGTTACCTCCTCACTGTCACACAACTGCAGTGACAATGCGCGCACGCTCTAAGTCTTGACTGATTTGATGCGTCTTTTTGGGCCGCTCTCGGCCATTGTGGATTACATAACAGTCTCGAAGAGAGATGTCGGACGATGAGTGAACGGCGGAAGTGCGGACGAAACACTCATCTCGGCGGTAACCCTTGAAACGGTCATAAGCGACGCATGGCAACGGCAAAACGATTTGAGGTCGTGTGTTGAAATGCAACCTGCAATTATAATTTGCTTCGATTTGAATCGTCGGAAATTAGAGCCGGTAAATTAGCTGTGCACGTTCAGCGACAACCGCAACTCTTTAGGATTACTCCCAGTGCGCGTTTCGACGTCTTTTGCATTCAAAACCGGGCGCGATAGTCGGCTCACACATAATTTTGGGTTTCAAGCAATGTTGTAACTTCGGATCGGGTCCCCCAGCTTGCTGTCAGCCTAGAATATGTTGCGCGGCTGAAACTCTCTCTTTGCGACCGCGGGAGGGAAATACTCAATTGCCGCTTCCATTAACTTCTTTGAGCCCATGTCAGGTGTCAATCAAGTCAAACTGGCCCCGCAACGCGTCGTGCAATGTAAGAAGATCGGACCACAATAGCTGAATTTAAATAGCAGACACGCCTTCAATTGCTCCCGCCCAGCTGATTGCATCTTAGTCAAAGGGGTCGGTGGCATTGCTACACAGAAAAACAGTTTATTAAGCTTTTTAGACCAGATTCCAGATTGATTTTTTAAGAACTTGAATTTTTGTTTGAATTACTGTTCGAGAAAAAAGAACAAAATTAAATTACATTAGTCCCATGCTATAAATTCGAAATAGTTTGATTTTACTAAAAATTGCCAGCAAAGGTTAAAACAAATTATGGCTCAAACCTGACACTTGTTAAATAGAGCTTTTATCTGCTTTGACTTGCGAATATGTATTGTTTTTGCCGGTGTAGTCCGAAGCCGGGCAATTGAACGGTCGCTGGCTTGGCTTATTGTTATCGACAACTGTGACTGTTTCTGTGGCTACCAGATGGTGCAGTTGCCGTCTCCACTGCCATGTGCGAAATGCAAATGGGACTGCGGTTAACGAAGCTACATACATAGCTGCTGCTTCGACCCGTAATACTTTACTTTTACTTTTTATGATTAACATTTCCCACCCAAAAGTGAGAAACTTAACATGACTTTTGTCCGTTGTTCACTTATCCACATTCGTACTTTCTGCGCAGACTCTGCGCAATGAAATGAGAAATCTCAGAGATCGTAAACTGTGAAGATAGCAAACTGGCCAAGGTGCTCAGCGCCAAAATTATGTTTTTTGTCTTCTGAGCCAGCATCTTTTAATTACAGGTGTTAGTCACCGAGCCCAGCCATACCCCTGCGGCCCCTCCGCTCTTCACCGACCTGGGTGTCGGAATTGAAAGTGAAACTCTTTTTGCTTTCAGCTCCGAGTCAAAGGTTGGTGGGCCTGACAGGGCTCAGTGCTGCCCTCCAATGGGACTCTGTGGAGGCCCACGCACGAGCTGAAGTGTGAAATGTTGTCATCGTCCGGATGAGTGCGCAACTTGAGTGCGGACTGACTCAAATCGCGGAGCGGCGGAGTAGAGCTGAACAAATTTCATTTGGGGTAGGTCGGACAGCCGCGGAGGGAAAACTGGTTCTATGTCCAAGAAGACTACCGGCCTACAGGGGTTTCCCGGAGATTTCTCAAGAGTCTTATTAACAGCTAAAGGGTTTGAAGCCTACTTGCTTAAAAACGCAGAAGTTTGTACGTCATATTTTGATCGACGCACTTATCCAAACACAGGGAATCAGATCGGGCTTGAATGCTGATTGTTGAATTTCATTAAGCGAGTAGTACTCATACGCAGCGTGTTACACCTCTCCTATGTGCTGCGTCATGAACTCACTTTTCTTTTCGGGGAAGATCGACGTTTCTCACAAGGGGTGGCGAACGCTTTAATTTTGTGAAGGGCAGGATATTGATCGGGATCTTGGGACACAAAGTTTGGTTTTCTCAGAAGCGGTGGCGACTTCAATATGCGACAGATCGCACCGCGAACCGAAATACAACTGACTGCGAATGAAAAACTTTTGCTTGCAAGTAAAAAAGCAGCGAGCTGGAAAACAGCAGAAAAAAGTAAAAATTAATATGTATACATATGTATGTTTAGAGGCCGACGGCGCAGCGGTCGAGTCAGCAGCAGAGCGCCAGCGAACAGCGAAGGTAAATCCGGCGATGCCAACGACGCCGGCATTAACAAACGCTGCCAGAGATACTTAACTAGCACTCGTATTCAGTCAATAGTCGGATAGCCAGATACAACGCGAAGTGGAGCCGCCGATCCCGCCCGGTACCGCCTCATTGCGGCCCCTGGTCCGCCCGCCATCTTTCCCAACCGGGCACAAAGACACCAAAGTCGATCTGAGGTTAAAGCCATCTTCAAGCCAAGGCGAAATTGCTCTCGAAAACAGCAACTTTAGCTGAGGCTGAGACGTAGTCGGTCAACAAAGCTGAGGCACGCAAAAAAAGAGGCAGCCGAAATGAGCGAACAATTGCGCAACTGATGCCAGCAAGCATCTTGCTATCGATTCACTATGGGACAAACGACCACTTTTGATTGTACAATTTGTTGATCTTTTAGCAAATAATATTTCCATTTATAGATTAGGTTTCCTTTCCTTGAAGTTTATTATAAAATTTATTGAATAGGGTGGACTCGGTTTGTAATAAATATTTTTAACAACAGGTTACTTGGTCCCAGAATAAGTCTTATTCTCCAATTTTTATTATAAACTTTTTATTATAAAAATTGAAATAATACTTATTTTGCAATTATAAAAATTTAAAAATAATTATTATTTTATAATTTTTATTTTAAAAACAAGGACGGAAGCTAACTTCGGCAAGCCGAAGTTTTAATACCCTTGCAGATTTTACGAATGAAAACTTGACTAGAATAGCAACATGAATTAAAAAACAACAAAATATTTTATAATTGAAAAAAATAAAATTTTAAAATTTTTCACCCTATTCCTATGGGAGCTATAGGATATAGACGCCCGATCGGCACGCGCTTTTACCCTAATGAAGGTATGCATAAAATAATAGGATTTGGAAAGTTTCATGTCAATAGCTTATATGCTGCGCGAAATATCCTGAAAAACGTTAAATTTGTACCGATTTCCCCCTATTGTTTCTATGGGAGCTATAAGATATAGACGTCCGATCGGCACGCGCTTTTACCCTGATCAAGGTATGCGTAAAATAATAAGATTTAGAAAGATTCTTGTCATTAGCTCGTACACTGAGCGAAATATCTTCATTTTGTGAAAGCTTTATCCGATTGTTCCTATGGGAGCTATAGGATATAGACGTCCGATCGGGACGGTTTTCAAACTTGATCTGCGTACACATGTTCTAGGACGACTGTGAAAGTTTGAAGGCGCTAGCTTTTAAACTGAGCTCGCAAACGGTATTGAAACAGACATACAGACGGACAGACGGACATGGCTATATTGACTCCCCTATTGATCCTGATCAAAAATATATATATTTTATGGGGTCGGAAACGTCTCCTTCACTGCGTTACAAACTTCTGACCAAAATTATAAAACCCTCTGCAAGGGTATAATCATAAGAATTTCGTCCCTGGTAAAAACGGTTTCACACCAATTTTTTTGTTTTTTCCTAGAACGGTATATGGGAACTTCCAAAACTTTAAAGTTGAAAAAAATTGGAAAAAAATGAATTTTAATTTTAATAATGGGGTTTTCTTTTTATTCTTTTTATTTTGCCTGCTTTTACAATAGATGATAGCTTTTATTTGAATCTATGTATTCTGAGTGCATTAATGGATCTTTCCAATTTCAAATGATTTCAGTCAGATGTTTACGAATGGTTTATTGTAAGATGATCAGAAACAAATTATATTCCCAAGGTCTGTGCTATGGCAGAACCTTTGTCTGTAAAACCATCCTGCCAATGAAAAAAATCGAAGACAAAAACTAATTTTACAATATATTTATTATGCTGCACCAGTGATAACTGTGTGACAAATTCATTAGGCCAAGCGAGCGTCAGCAGATAAGTCGGCGCAGCGTAGAAGACTGCGGACGAAATCAATCGTGCACGAAAGGGAAGCCGATATTCATATATTGCTCTCTCTTTTTCTGTCTTATAATCTGTCTGCACTCAGCGGTAGCAGAGACAAATTTCGGCCGGTCCGTCATTCTCTTTTGCGCTTAACCGTTATGTTCAGCTAGCGAGCAAAATTTGGATGGAATAATTTTCGTGAAGCAGCGACATGGCTATGCCCTTACAATTCCTGTTATAAACTTAAATTGTTTATTTATAAAATTGTAATTTACTTAAACAATACATGTATTATATTTTATAAGCTCATTTTTTAGTTTAGTTAAAAAAAAATGGTCCATTAATATTTATTTAAATATTAAAACAGTAACAGTTTTAAGAAATTGCGTTTTTACTGAACAAATACAAATTATTTTGTCTGATATATACCGCTTTAGAAAGGGTATAGGACAGTGGTGGCCAGCAGAAGCAGCACACATACAATAAAAGAATGCATTGCATTTGTGTGAGTGCGAGCATGCACGAATTTGCCTGTGTGCGTGACGTTTTTCAGCTTGACAGTGTACATGTGCGCCGAAAGGCTGCAGCGCGCTGGCAGAGCAGCGGCAGAGAAATTGCCTATCCCGTGGGCCCTGCGCGCTGCCTCTGCTGGCCACCACTGGTATAGGAGCATTGGCACGCGCCAACAGCGAAGATGAAGCAAACGAAATCGGTTAAAAGGGGTAAGAAGAAGGCTTGGTGCATCGCATTATTTTCTAATGTTTTCTGAGAGAAGAAGATTTTCGTGATTAGTTAAATATTTTGTGATAAGTGATATTATACAAAAATTAAAGTGGGGTAAGTGCTACCTTATATGTAAGATATTGTGATAGACTTAACTTTAATTTGCACCAAAATGCCTTAAGCTGATTATTTCCGATAGTCTGGTCATTAACTACAATCTGGACGGAAGCAGTGGAAGCAAAGGGTTCTATGCGGTGCTTAATGGTCAGAACGCAATTATATGAATATTAAATACAAATGTTAATACTTTTTATACCCGTTAGAGTAAAAGGGTATATTGTATTCGTGCAAAAGTATGTAACAGCTAGAAGAAAGCATTTCCGACCCTATAAAGTATATATATTCTTGATCAGGGTCACTAGCCGAGTCAATCCAACCATGTCCGTCTGTCCGTCTGTCTGACTGTCTGTCTGTTTGTCCGTCCGTATGAACGCTGAGATCTCAGAAACTACACAATCTAGAAAGATGAGATTTCCCACACATATTCTTTGGCTTCCTACGCAGCGCAAGTTTGTTTCAGCCGAGCGCCACGCCCCCTCTAACGCCCACAATCCCACACAAACGATTTTAAAAAGTGTCTGGCGGCCACATCTTTTAAGATTTTAAAAATGTATAAATGAAATTATATAGTGTTTGTAAATACCTATCGAAATATAGAAGACATTTTTCAAATCGGACCAGTCATTAAAAAGTTATGCGCAATTAAAGTCGTTTATATATCCATCTCCCTCGCACTCCCTTTAGCTGAGTGACTAGCGTTCTTTCTTGTTTTTTAATATTTTCAGGAGCATTGACCCTTCATTCCGAAGACGCAGACAAGTGCCTAAGAAATGCTTTGCTGAATATTAAAAATAAGTTAGTTACAAAAATCTAAAAATAATAATAATAATAATTTTGATAACTTAAATAACACAATTAAAAACAAGAGAGAACGCTATAGTCGGGTTGGTGTCCCGACTATCTAATACCCGTCACTCAGCTAAAGGGAGTGCGAACGCTGTACTCGGGTTGGTATCCCGACTAATAATCGTAACTCAGCTAAAGGGAGTGCGAGGGAGATAGATATATAAATTTTGATTGCGTATAACTTTTTAATGAATGGTCCGATTTGAAAAATGTCTTCTACATTTCGATAGGAATAAATATACACAACAAAATTGCATTTTTACTTTTCGGAAATCTTTAAAGATGTGGGCGCAGGACCCATTTTAAAATCGTTAGTGGGCGATTATGGGCGTTAGAGGGGGCGTGGCGCTCGGCTAAAATAAACTTGCGCTGCGTAGGAAGCCAAAGAATATGTGTGGGAAATCTCAACCTTCTAGCTTTTGTAGTTTCTGAGATCTCAGCGTTCATACAGACAGACAGACGGACAGACAGACGGACAGACGGACATGGCTAGATCGACTCGGCTGGTGATCCTGATCAAGAATATATATAGTTTATAGGGTCGGAAACGCTTCCTTCTACCTGATACATACTTTTGCACGAATCTAATATACCCTTTTACTCTACGAGTAACGGGTATAAAAAATAAATAAGAAATATAAATAAATAAATTGAAATAAATAAAATTAAATAAATGAATTGAAAATATAAATTTGTATGTAATTTTTTTTTTGGGAATGAAATTGCTGATGACATTTTGGAAAAAGTCACTCGTGAAATCATGCGTGATATGTCACAGGATGGTGACGTCTCATATGACAAATTCGTATAAGGCACTGGTGATATCACCGATGACTTCAAAGAAATTGTCATTTGAGCTGTCACTATGGTACGGGGTAGGACATCTCGGACAAATGTCTCTGTGGAAAGTCACGAGTGTCAAATGACATGTCACAAGTGATTCACCCGGTGATTCACGAGTGAAAACTGATTTCTGGAACTGAAGGGTACGTATTTAAGCGTTTATTGGGTTTGTGGGCGTTAGAGTGGGCGTGACAATTTTTTACTTGGCCAATCGATAGGTATTGACGAAGCGAATACATATCAGTTACTATTTTCATAATAGCTTCAAAACTGTGGGCGTTAGAGGGGGCGTGGCACCTTTTTGAAACAAACTTGCGCTGCGTAGGAGCTCCAAGAATCTCCATGCAAAATGCCAATCTTCTAGCTTTTATAGTTTCCGAGATCTCAGCGTTCATACGGACAGACAGACAGACAGACAGACAGACGGACAGACAGACGGACAGACGGACATGGCTAGATCGACTCGGCTCGTGATCCTGATCAAGAATATATATACTTTATGGGGTCGGAAACGCTTCCTTCTAGCTGTTACATACTTTAGCACGAATACAATATACCCTTTTACTCTACGAGTAACGGGTATAAAAAAACTCGATCTGATTACCTTAAGAAACATCTTAACTAATGGACATTTTTTTTTTGTTTTTTTCTGATGATCCAGTAACGAGTTATGCTGTTCACCGCAAAGCCTCTTTTTTTGGTGGCGGCTATGGAGATTTGCCGCAGACGGCTCATTTTTAAATTTTTTTCAATCAAAATTTTAGAAAATATAGTTTAAGTGTTGTACTTTGATATAATAATAAAATAATTTATCTAACATTAACCGTATCGTGTGAAAAAATTCATGAAAAATAGTCCTTTTTTTGGCCGAATTAACCATACCCCCCTCCCATAACGTTAAATTGACATATTCTGAAATCACCACAAAAGTATACTACATATTTATTTGCATAGTCCTGATTAAATAGATAGATATAGATTTCGAAAATACCATAATCGATTAGTGTACGTAAAAAGTAGATTTTAGATGTTAGCCACACTAAAATCAAATTTTTGCGCGCAAAATGTTCACTAAAACCTGAAGAAAAAAGTACGGCATACTTTTGAGCTCTCTTAGCTCAGCTCTTCAAAATAGCTCGACTTCGAGTTAAGCCTTCAATTAAAACTTAAATTACCGAAAACTAAGGCAAAACCGCATCGAGTCGGTGGGCTACGCTTTTAGTAAATTGATCAACGAATTTTTTTTTGAAGGAATCAACTAATTTGGGGATGGCACTCAAAAGCACTTGAAAAGCAAAGTACTCATTTGCTAAAAAAAGCCGTAAGAATCAATAAATACAATTATTTTTTTTTTATTTGTTGAAAGTAATCACATCTACAAGTTTCGTGAAGAGTCGAACAGCTACATCAGCATCTTTGACTTCAAGATTTTTTTAATTTTCATCAATATTTGATGAATTTTCCACATTGAAAATACGGTAAAAAAAATTCTTTGAAACATTGGAATAAATTAGTTTAATGTATTATAAAAAGGACCGTAAACTCATATTGGTCATTTTATTAAAAAAAAACGTATTTTTGGACAAAAATCCGATTGGCTGGCCCAATGTGCAATGCAAAATTTGACGAGTTTAATATTGATAATAACTAACAATCAAATGTGGAATCGGAAAATAATAAGTTACTTCGCCACTTTTGTATATACAAATGTTTTCGTTTCATTCAAAACAACAAATTCCAATTTACAAACAGATGTACATTTGTGCGCAAATTAAAATTGCATTGATAACATTGTAACTGATAGAAAGTATAAAACTGCACTACTTTTACATTCATTTATTATATAGCTCTGCTCTGATCTTTTAGGATCTTCCACAAAGATTGTTCACACAAAGGTTTTCAAAAAACGCGCAAATAAAAAATAAGAAAGTCCTGACAACCTAATTTCCTAACTCCAAACTAATTCTAAACGAACGAAGTCGCTCCGGGTATACAGTGGTTCACAGCTTATTTCAACCAGTCTACACCAAAAACTTTAACAGCCCATAAAAAGTAAACGCAGAATACATCTATGATGATACACATTAGTGTATAATAATGTTATGGTTTTTTTTAATTTTTTACAAATATTTTTTATGAATTAATTGTTTTGGGCCTAAAAGTGTCAAACAGGTCCTTCCATAATTTCTTTTTTTTTACTCCGCGACTAAGATTTGAGTTCATCTTCACATTCAAAAGTATAAATTAATTAAAAACTGCCAGGATTTTGAAATATAAATTATTTTTTGATTTAACTAAAGAAATGACCCATGGGAAGTGCATATTTTTTCGCAGATTCAGCTCATCCAGAGCAGTTGAAAGCTAATGATTATGAATTAAAGGTGTCTTAACATTACCACAAAACAAAATTGGAAGTCCACTTAACGAACAAATTTTAGAAAACACAATATTTTTAGACGAAACTATGACAAAAGTCCTTCCCAAGGGTCGAGAGTAGTTTTTACTTGACAACAACAACAAAAGGCATTGCATCCATGTAAAGTTAACTTTAAATTGTTGGTAAACAAAAGGGTAGTCATGCCAAATTAAAAAAAAAAAAATTTATTCGATTTTTTGTTAACTGGTTGAAATAAGCTGTGGCCTTTTTATACCCGTTACTCGTAGAGTAAAAGGGTATATTAGATTCGTGCAAAAGTATGTATCAGGTAGAAGGAAGCGTTTCCGACCCTATAAACTATATATATTCTTGATCAGGATCACCAGCCGAGTCGATCTAGCCATGTCCGTCTGTCCGTCTGTCTGTCCGTCTGTCTGTCTGTATGAACGCTGAGATCTCAGAAACTACAAAAGCTAGAAGGTTGAGATTTCCCACACATATTCTTTGGCTTCCTACGCAGCGCAAGTTTATTTTAGCCGAGCGCCACGCCCCCTCTAACGCCCATAATCGCCCACTAACGATTTTAAAATGGGTCCTGCGCCCACATCTTTAAAGATTTCCGAAAAGTAAAAATGCAATTTTGTTGTGTATATTTATTCCTATCGAAATGTAGAAGACATTTTTCAAATCGGACCATTCATTAAAAAGTTATACGCAATCAAAATTTATATATCTATCTCCCTCGCACTCCCTTTAGCTGAGTTACGATTATTAGTCGGGATACCAACCCGAGTACAGCGTTCGCACTCCCTTTAGCTGAGTGACGGGTATTAGATAGTCGGGACACCAACCCGACTATAGAGTTCTCTCTTGTTTTTTACTTTTTTTGTAATTAATTCATAAAAAATATTTGTAAAATATTTTAAAAATCATAACATTATTATACACTAATGTGTATCATCATAGATGAATTCTGCGTTTAAATAATTTTGATAACATGTTTTTATGGGTTGTTAAATTTTTTGGTGCAGACTGGTTGAAATAAGCTGTAAACCACTGTAAAACTATATTGATGCAAGTGCAGCTCATAAACATTACACGTTTCACTTTAAATATGTCAAATAAAAACAAACAAAAATTTAAGGATTAAAATTTTAAAGAAAATAATTACCCGTTTAAAAAAAAATTTTTAAAATTTAGTTTTGTTCATAAATTTTTAACTATTGTATTTACATAAATTGCGTCAAGAAGGCGTTCATTGTATTTCAAAATACCTTTAATATGAGGTAAAGCTTAAGTATTTCGTAAAATATGGGCTTAAGAAATTTAGCCATTTATAGCCGTTTTCCCGCTAAACTAGCGAGTTTTCCCAAAAGTGTAATGTTTCTTATATTAAGCTGTTTAGCACCATATCACTATGGACGGCAGTCCATGTAGTGACGAAGCGCACCAGGAGAGTGTGCGAAGGCGACTACTATATATACACGAAGAAATGAAAATCTGCTGTGATAGTCAGATCGTAATGAGTAATACACCAATCGAAAGGTATTGCAAAAACTTAAAGGATTGCATACCAAGACCTCAAGAAAATCAATTGGTTTGGGAGAGAGAGAGGTGAAAGTGAAAATTTCGAATTTTGGAGCTGTTGGGGCCGGTGGGGATAAAATCCCCCTAGCAATGTTTTAGTTGTATTCCTATTGAAAATACCCGTCGAATGAGGGGTTCAAAAGTTATAGCCAAAATAAGATTTTCTTCTTCTTCCCAAAATGAAAATTTAATTCTGTTTGTCAGTTTGTCCAAAATATGTTTTTTAAGTTCTGAAAATTTGATATGACGTTCATCACATCGATATAAAAAACTTTTGTTCTACCACTTTTGGAAAAACCCGCTAGTTTAGCGGGAAAACAGCTATAAATAGCTAAAATTCGGAAAGCCGTAACTTCTATACTACTAAAGCTACAGACTTGTGCTGCATCTCGTTTGAAAGGTATTTTTAAATGCTATAAACGCCTCTATATGAAATTTGTGTAAAGTTAATAGTTAAAAAGATATGAACAAACTTTTGTTTAAACTTTTTTTTAAACTTTTTTTTAATTTTCTCAAAAACGGCTCTAACGATTTTCCTTACAGTTCTGATATCAACATTTGTGACGAAAAATTATTACACTCGTCATTAAATACACTTTCTAAGATTTTCTCATTCGGCACGCTGCAATAGAAAATGCCTATGAAGGTAAAAAGGCTAAAATAGTATGCTAGGGCGGGCCGAATGAGAAAATCTTAGAAAGTGTATTTAATGACGAGTGTAATAATTTTTCGTCACAAATGTTGATATCAGAACTTTTGTATGTTGAAGGTGCGATCGTCACTAGTTTTTTACCTCGTTAAGAGGTGTTTTTATTTGATCAAATTTTCAGGACAGATAGAAAAACTGACAAACAAAATTAAATTTTCATTTTAGGTATAAAATTTTGTTATCATATGACCCCTCATTCAACGTGTATTTTTAATAGGACCACAACTAAAATAATACGATGCATTTAACCCTCCGGCTCACCGCCCTCTCTCCCAAACCAATTGAAATTGATTAAGTCATCTCCTGGTGCGCTTCGTCACTACGTGGACTACCGTCCACAGTGATAATAAAATGTATTTTGATCTTTTACGCGTAGTTGATACTTGACGCTTAAATTTCCATGTAAACACTCAGTTGATAATAAAAGTATATGTATCCAAAATTAGTACTCCGCAAAAAACTGATTAAGCAAAACTTTATCGAAAATCCCCGACGCTCTTTTAATATTTTTGTAATATTTTGATATTTATTTGTTTTTATTTTGAATATTTTTTTAATATTCTCAAAAAGGATAAACGTTCAATATACGACGAACATATCAAATATCCCTGTTCACATTTGACTCAATTCCATTCAACGCCATATCCATTTGCGTTTTCAGAGGTTGAAGGGTCTGCGCCTGGCACTCCCCATTTATAACAAACGCCCGAAAAGTAATTGCCATGGCCCGATCATTAAAAAAGCCCGAAGAACGATTACATCCGTTTGTATGAGCGTTGAGATCTAAGGCAGTCCCATCATTGCTCACACAAACCAAAAAGAGGCTCCAGTTTTACTGCCGAATTTCGCCATTTTTATGGAATCTGGGCTGCTGTTGGCCCTAAATAAAAGTCTTTCTAATTAACAAAAATTTCACTTTTCACTTAACTTATTACATGTTCAGGCATGCATGGATCATAAATAACAGCGAGAGCGAGGGCAAAGGTGAGGAATGAAAAATATTATTCGGTGTAGAAACTAAAGCTGCTCCCATCGGCCAGCTTATTATTGAGCGCACCGCCGCGATTCTTTGACGTTTCCTGTGCCGCACCGGTTTCGGACACCAACTTCGCCGCTTTTTGGTCCTGCAGAGCGTCGCGCACGAAAAACACTCCGTTGGCTCCGAAGCGAAGGCAGTTAAATCGGTACTCGAAGAACTGGCTGGCAAGAACCTTGAAAACCACCGACAGACAGACCTGTATGTTGCCCTCGCCAAAGGTCCGGATGTCGTAGAGTCGCAGGCAGCTGAAGAGCGGCAGCGGCAGGAGCAGCGGTACGCAGTAGTCGGGAGGGTTGCGGGCGGAGAACCCAAAGTTGGCCACGGTGCGCTGGTTCAACTCGACACTCAGGTGCAGGCCCAGGTCCGCCCGAGTGTACTCGAGAGCGGCGCAGAGCCGCTGATTGAGGGATTCACCGAAGCCCAGGGCCAGGCCCAGGCAGCACCGGCAGGCGAGCTCGGAGCAGGAGCATGGCTGCCACAACTGCGGAAGCTCCACGATGTTCCCATTCACGGGCAGTCGCCTGGGGCCGCGCCATAGGGCCAGGTACCGCAGAGGCTCCAGCTGCTGGCCACTGAAAGGGTTGTAGAGCACCAGACGCGGCACTGACCTCAGAGCTGCACCCTGCAGTGGCCCGGCTAAGGGGTACAACTGTGCCCGGCAAGGCCCGCCTAGCGCCGTCAGCACGTAGATCAGTCCGTAGAAAAAGTTCCGTTGCCAGCACATGGTTGCTACAGATCCAAGTCCAGGTCCACAAGGTAATGGGGTTTTCCGGAAGCGTGTTCTCGGGCGCAATTGTCCAAACAGAGTGCTGTTTCTACTGTTTGCCCACGGTTGATTTTTCGAAAGCCAGAGCTCCGACCGTTTTACCGGCCCGCCAAATGGCTCGGAAAATGTTTATTGTCTTACATTAGATGGCTTTGGCCGAGTGCGGCAGCCCAGCCGACAACAAGTGCAATTGCCTAAAAATTGTGTCAATGCTAGATCGGTGTGATCGATACAGCTGCGGTGCCGGAGTAACGCGGAGCTAATGGATACGCTGATAAGGCAGAGGGTAATTTGCATTTGAGCGATTTCCAGGCGTTACGTGAAGCTGGCCAGGTGCAAACAGAAAATTGCACACTCGACCTGACACTTCGAAGTGTGTTAAAATTACCCGCACTGCTCTATTTGCGCAAACTTGAGGCAAAATCTGCCATCTGTAGCTATCCGTAAACATCGGAGTACCAAGCATAACGTAACGAACTAGCACTCATCCGAACAAAAAAAGACAACTTTTACGCTTTATTGAGGTCTTCATGGCGAGGGGGTCTAAATTCCGTAGGAAAGGCTTACACGTCACATTCAGTATTTCTCCATTCCGGTGACCAACGGTGTTCAGAGAAGGTTTCCCAATGAGCTGCTTATTTAGTTTCGAGACCGTTTGTTGGCCATTGTACATAGGAAATAAACTTTTTTAATGTAGCCGCCATTTGAGATCGAACTTCAAAGGTGGACCTTGAATTGGCTCATAGACACATGTACGGTTGAAAAATTATTCAATTTTTTATGCACACGTAAAAATGCGGGAATTTACACAGCCGACTCAAAGGGCAAAGACTTTTTAAAGCAAAAGCCTAACATTTTCCATGCCACCCAAAGAGTTTGTTGTTGCAATTTTTTTTTATCCAATGTTAACAATATAATATTACCAGAAGAAAATAAGTTACAACAATCAACCTTTAAAAACAAAGGCCGCAAACGCAAACACTGTTTTTTTTTCTCTTTTACAAAATCTTTAAATTATTTTTAGTATAAGGCTCGAAAGATAACGCGCTTTAAAATGCTATTTTGTTTTTTTATTTTTTAATTTTTATGAATAACAGCACAGGTCAACAAAATGGACTTTATTAAAAGGTGCAGGCCTATGGGCATTAAAATATGTTAATATAGACGTATATAAGAATATCTGCATACTTCGTTTTCGCGTTTAACGGGTATTATTTGTGCAATCGCGGTTTGAAAAAAATAGCAACATTTAATGTTTTGATTTAAGATATCTTTGACGGACTTTGCCCAACTGTATTAAAACCTATGCCAAAAAATGGCTTAGATGCCCAATTACTTAATTGCATTTAAGGTTCCATTATTATTTGAGTCAATCAAAGCCTATGAGCCATTGAAGTAATTTGTTCACCTCTATTCACAACCAACTTAATGCGGTGAACAGGCTTAAAAAAATACAAGGAAAACAAGAAAGGAAGCTACCTTCGGCCAGCCGAAGCTTATATACCCTTGTAGATAAAAGAATACTCACTCGGTGCAGTTCCAGGGATTCCAGATTCAGCGTTTCGATTTATTTCAATTTTGTTTTTAAGTAGTCAAGAATCAAAACGCCTACTTCCTACAAAGTTACAATGAATTTTCTTATATTTGTTTGGGAGCCTTAAGATATAGTGGTCCGATCCGGCTCGCTCCGACATATGTACTACCTGCAATAGAAAGAAGACCTTCGGGAAAGTTTCATCGCGATAGCTTTAAAACTGAGAGACTAGTTCGCATAGAAACGGACAGACGGACAGACGGACATGGCTAGATAGACTCGGCTATTGGTGCTGATCAAGAATATATATACTTTATGTGGTCGGAAACGTCTCCTTCACTGCGTTGCAAACATCTGACTGAAATTATAATACCCTCTACAAGGGTATAAACATCTGACTGAAATTATAATACCCTCTACAAGGGTATAAATATGTGCCGTAAAATATTTGACAGGCATCTAGACACGACTTTTCCCGAATTTTTGAGATAAAACCCACTATTGTACTTCAAAGGATGGAATTTATAGAATTTTTTCCGTAAGAACGGGAAAAGTAACAAGAATTTTGAAATTCCATTTTACAAAAATATATGACACATTCGTAGAAATTTGCCTTTCAATTTGTTTAGCAGTAGGCGCCGAACATCGAAAATTTGTATTTTCAAGGGGTTAGTATGCCTGTTAAATATCTCCCCCCACAATTTTAAGGCTACGCCACTGTTATCTTTAAAAAACTACTGTGTGAAGTCACGACCAACTCGTTACGTAATAGTTACTCAAAAATACTTGTTACTTTTTACGTTCCTATGAAAAAAATTCTTTAAATTCCATCCTTCGACGTATAATGGTCTTATTTATCTTAAAAATTCATACGCATCAAGTTAGCAGAACAACTTTGGAAATTGCAATTTTTTCTTATTGACAATTTGCCGTTATTTATCCGTAAATTATTCGTGAAACAATTAATTTTGCCGCTCAACTATTTTAAAAGTTATAGGATGTTCTGCTAACTTGATATCAAGTTAGCAGTACAACACCTTAAATGTTAACTTTTCCAAAATGTTTTTAAATGGGATTTTGCCGTTATTTATCCGTAAATTATTCGTGAAAGAAAAAATTTTGTCGCTCTTAATTTAAGATTTATTTTTTAAAAAAACATAGTTGTTCTGCTAAGTTGATATCAAGTTAGCAGTACAACTTTTCAAATGTTAACTTTTTCGAAATGTTTTTAGCTGACATTTTGCCATTATTTATCCGTAGATTATTCGTGAAAGAAAAAATTTTGTCGCTTATTGCGTATTAAAAATTCGGTGAAAGACGCCTGTAGATGCCTGTCAAATATTTTAGGGCACATATTTTTCCTTGTATTTTTTTAAGCCTGTTCACCGCATCAAGTTGGTTGGGAATAGAGGTGAACAAATTACTTCAATGGCTCATAGGCTTTGATTGACTCAAATAATGATGGAACCTTAAATGCAATTATTTAGAAGGGCATCTAAGCAATTTTTTGGCATAGGTTTTATTACAACTAAGCACAGACCCTCGAGGATATCTTAAATCAAAACAATTAATGTTGCTATTTTTTTCAAACCGCGATTGCACAAATACCACCCGTTAAACGCGAAAACTAAGTATGCAGATATGCTTATACCCGTCTATATTAACACAATTTAATGCCCATAGGGCTGCACCAAAAACACTGTCGGCCTGTGCAGTTATTCCCTTGACATTTTTTTAAAAATGAAATAATTAAAAAAAAACATAATACCCGTGTTTTATATAACTTACTAAAAATTTGTTAAAAAAGGCAACCGCGCATATTTTATACCTATATTTTTTTAAATTTATTTTACCCACAAAATCGCCATAAATCAAGTTTGAGTTTTATTTTTGATCACGACGAATAACTGTTATTTGTCAACTTTTATTATAAAACTTAAAAAATAACAGTTTTTTTTTGAGTTTTACTTTACAAATCAGAAAATAACTGTTAAAGTGTGATTTTAAAAATAAAACTTAGACAAGTTACGGTCCCTGAGCAAAACAAACCGATATTCCAAATTTGTTGCATAATTGAGGTTAATTAGGCTCAGATGACACATTCAATTTTTAACGTCAATTTATTGTAGCAATTTTTCTTTAATGGGACTTTAAACGAACGCGAGAAAGAATCAAATATTTTTGGCTGCTCTACCACTAACACCAATAATAAAGGCGCGATATCATATTAATCCTGACCCGCTTGCACTTCTTTAAACTCACACAAATGAAAAATTGTCACAATAAATTGACGCTAAAAATTGAAAAGGAAAAGGAACGTTATAGTCGAGTACTTCCGCTATCAGATAACCGTCTTAGCTAAATGGATAGCGAGGGTGGTGGAGATATGCAGTTGTCAAAGCTACTGTCTCCGTCTAGCGGCCGCTATCGGGTCCATCTAGTGACCATTTCATTTTTTGCTCTTAACTTTTTAATGGATTGTCCGATTTTAAAAAAAATAGCATTTAAACTTTTACAAAATCTGTAAAGACATGGGTGCCAGGCCCTTTTAAAAGGCCGTTAAAGCGACTGTGGGTGTACAAGTGGGCGTGGCGCTCGGATTTAACAAACTTGCGCTGCGTACAAGGTGGCGTGGCGTTCGGAAGAAACAAACTTGCGCTGCTTAGAAAGAATATGTGTGAATAATCCCAACCTTCTAGCTATAGAAGGTGGTAGTTTCCGAGATCTCAGCGTTCATACAGACAGAAAAGCCTCTTTGCTTTTTATAGCAAAACCGGGTACTTTTAAATTCAATTAAAAACAAGAAAGGAAGCTAGCTTCGGCAAGCCGAAGCTTATATACCCTTGCAGATCATTCTATTAATTTACAAATCGCAAAAATGTTCAATTTCTTACTATTTCACATTAATTTGTCGATTGCTTTTATCACAGCTATATGATATAGTAGTTCGATCTTTTAAAAATTAAAATCGAAATTCGGAAATATTTCAAAATAGTCATATCCCAGAGTAGAAGGGAATGTAATAAAAACCAACAAAGATATAATTTTTTTCCCATTAATTTCCATTTAATTTTTCGACTGTTCCTATGGCAGCTATATGATATAGTGATCCGATTTAAAAAACAAATAAAGCGAAATTCAGAAATATATAAAAAAAAATATTCCCAAGAGTAGAAGGTAAAATTTCAAAAAACACCGGAGCTAGAATTTTTTTACGTTTTTTTTTTTTGATCCTTCTATAATAAGATATAGTTGTCCGATCCGGTTGGTTCCGACTTATATACTACCTGCAATAGAAAAAAGGCTTTTGGGAAAGTTTTATCCCGATAGCTCAAAAACTGAGAGACTAGTTTGCGTAGAAACAGACAGACGGACAGACGGACGGACAGACGGACGGACAGACGGACATGGCTAGATCGACTCGTATTGTGATGCTGATCAAGAATATATATACTTTATGGGGTCGGAAACGTCTCCTTCACTGCGCACTGTGGGGCGCCTAGAACAAAAAGCCTGCCAAAATGTTTTTTTTTTTTTTTAAGATTTTTCAAAATGTTGCAATGCAACTTTAAAAACAATTGAATTCTCTATACAAATTAAAAGGAAAGAGTGATCTGTGATGAATGGTTTTCCCACTACAGATTTATAAAGTGGATTTTTCGAATCATAATTTTAGCCAATAAGAAAAAAAGGTATTTTTACACATCTTTGAAATTTTTCTGAAAGCGCCCAAGGGCCTAAGTTGTATATGTAACGATTGAAATTTTAAGAGCAACCAATTCTTAAAATATTAAAAAAACAATACAAATTTTAGATACATAATTACTATTTTTTTTAATTTTTTAAAAGGGGTCCAAAAAAATTTGGATTTTTGGATATTTTTGGACGTAAAGTAGTGTTACACCCTAGATCCCCGTTTAATTCTTTTTTTTTTTAAGTTTAGATATTTAACTACATTTTCTGAAAAAATTAGCCTGCCCTTTTGTGCCTCTTCTTAGAAAACTACAGTTTAAGCTAGCAAGAAATGTTCATAATTTGAAATATCGTCAGCCCTGGTTCATTCGCGCGCCCTAACATCATGAAGATATTTTACTTATGTGAAGGTATTGATGAAGATAATGATAAATTAATAAACAAATTTGGGTTTAAAATTTTAAATTATGTTATTTTACTAAAAATACAGATATGAAATAAATACCGGTTTCTACCAGTTTTTTTTTTTTTAAATATGCTATATTTCCTTGATTGATTCTATGACATGTATAAGATACCATTGACCAATTAAAAAAAAAGGTAAGCATAGAGCTAAAATGATAAATAATGCCTTAATCCCAATTTATATGAACCAATATTGAAATAGAACCGAGACATTCCCCTTTGTAATAAGCGTTTATATGGCAGCTATAAGTTATAGTTGACCGATTTGAATAATTTTTTTTCAAAAATCAAGTTAAATTAAAAAAAAATATTGGGAAACTTAGAACCCTATAACTAATTTATTTATATTTTTTTTCTTAAAAAAACAATTTTTTTTTCTTAAAAATTTTCGACAACAAAAAAATTTTACTAAAAAAATTCACCTTATGATGTTTTTTTACATATTTAATTGCCTTTAAGAATGCCCCATCAAAAGATATTTGCTATAGGGCTCCGCTGATTTAAGGCAGACTTTTGGCTTTTTCGCCCCACTGTGCTGCGTTGCAAACTTCTGACTGAAATCATAATACCCTCTGCAAGGGTATAAAAAACCATGGCAGACCAAAAAAAAAAAGAAGAGAACGCTAACAACTTTACACTTTTTTTCGAGGTAAGCCTTAAGACCAATTTTTGTTGATTAGTTTTTAGTTGCTTATCACGCTGAACTAATTAAAAAAATCCCAAAGAACCGTTCTGAAGATATTCGCAAAAATCCAGATTTTCGGACCTTCTTTTATAAAACCTAACAGATCTCAAAAACCATTAGACCAATAAACTTGGAACTTATACTATTTTCAAGGCAATAGATGAGCCTTTCTGAAAAGCTATTGTTTCAATAAAAATGCATATCTCCTAGAATTTGCACTCCATTTGCAAATATATGGCCTTAACTTGTTAACAACAAAGAGGCCGTTAGATCTGAAAGCACAAATAATTTATACATTTGTATGTGTATTTTTTTTAAGTAATGAAACTTTTTTGAATTTTCACAGGCTGTACCTCTATTAATTGCGACCCGATTACAACGAGTAATAACTTTTCGGAAAGGCTCATTAATTGCCTTTTAAATAGTGTAAGTTACAAGTTTATTGGTCTAATGGTTTTTGAGATCTGTTAGGTTTTATAAAAGAAGTGCCGAAAATCTGGATTTTCGCGAATATCTTCAGAACGGTTCTTTGGGATTTTTTTTTAATTTGTTCAGCGTGATTAGCAACTCAAACTATTTAATACCCGTCACTCAGCTAAAGGGAGTGCAAACGCTGTTGGTGTCCCGACTATAATCGTAACTCAGCTAAAGGAAGTGCGAGGGAGATATATATATATATATTTAGATTGCGTATAACTTTTTAATGAATGGTCCGATTTGAAAAAAAAACATTTCGATAGGTATAAATATACACAATAAAATTGTATTTATACTTCTCGGAAATCTTTAAAGATGTGGGCGCAGGACCCATTTTAAAATCGTTAGTGGGCGATTGTGGGCGCTAGAGGGGGCGTGGCGCTCTGCTGAATATGTGTGGAAAATCTTAACCTTCTAGCTTTTGTAGTTTCCGAGATCTCAGCGTTCATACAGACGGACAGACGGACATGACTAGATCGACTCGGCTAGTGACCCTGATCAAGAATATATATACTTTATGGGGTCGGAAACGCTTCCTTCTAGCTGTTACATACTTTTGCACGAATACAATATACCCTTTTACTCTACGAGTAACGGGTATAAAAATTGGTCTCAAGACTTACCGTTTTTTGCTGTAAACTATTCGTAATTATTTGTATTTGTAACTGCGCTGCCATAAGGCAGTTTTGAGCACCCCTGGTTTAGGGAATACCCTGACACTTTGAAGGCAAATAGATGCACCTTTTGGACCGCAACTAACGGATATGTAACCCGGGAAAGTTTGAAAATATATATTATTTAAAGAACTTTTTAAATGGCACTTTAACGTCATCAAAATGTATGCGTTCAGAAGAACAGTTTTTGTTGCTATGCGCGTTGTTGTAATCATGAACGCCCCTATTGCCCAATTTTATTTTATAAAATAAAATAATACAAAACAAGAAAGGAAGCTACCTTCGGCCAGCCGAAGCTTATATACCCTTGTAGATAAAAGAATACTCACTCGGTGCAGTTCCAGGGATTCCAGATTCAGCGTTTCGATTTATTTCAATTTTGTTTTTAAGTAGTCAAGAATCAAAACGCCTACTTCCTACAAAGTTACAATTAATTTTCTTATATTTGTTTGGGAGCCTTAAGATATAGTGGTCCGATCCGGCTAGCTCCGACATATGTCAAAAATCGCAGCTGCTTCCAGCAAATGGACTTTATGGGAATTTTTATGGCATACTCATTGGGAAAATTTCGGAACTGCAAAACCTTTCGGACCATCTCTTCAAAACTCGCTGGTTATATGACGCTGTTGCAGAATCGCCATCTGAACAGGGTATTAACGATGCGCTGCTTGACATCGATAAAGGTAAAGCATGAAATATCGATAACGCAAGGGCTGCCAAAAAAGGTTATCGGAGTCAGCTCAGTCCGTTCACACTCTAGCGGAAAATGCACTCCGCAGCCCTTCGTATTCTTATTATTTTTTGTTTGCCACAGTGCAGCCGAAATGTTTTAGTTCTTTAAAGTGGCTCCAGAAAGTACAAGTCAAACCGTTTGCGACCAAGAAACGCACTAGTGTGGTCCTACAGCAAAATGGGCGAATTCTTCAAGTCGCTTAACTTCAACTATTTCTCCTCCAGCGAGGGAGCTCCATCTGCCAACGGGGCTGCAGGAGGCGTAGCAGCAGGTGCCCTCGGGGGCAGACTGGACAACGATTTCGTGGGCCAGGTCGTCGAGGTGGCTGGTCACAGACTGCGCATCAAGTGTGTCATAGCGGAAGGTGAGGGGAGTGGGCGGAAAAAATCAATAGGTAGTGAATCCAGCAGGCACCACTCGCGGAAAGAAAAGACCGATCTGAACACTTCGCTGCGCTTTGTTTACGCTTTCTGATTTCAGGCTGAGCCGTTCCGTTCCGCCATTTCAAACCAACATCCTCGTTTTAGCCGCAGTGCATTGCCACTGACTCTGTTACACATTAACAACTCGCGTTCCATGACCTGTGAGTCACGCCTCGCCAAAGTGATCGCCTCTCTTATATAAGAACGGCATTGGAGCCGGGTGAAGGCTACGAACTCTAGCGGAAGACAAAGGGCAAAAAACCTACTGAAAATTTGAGCATACATACATAGATAGCATGCTATAAGCTAGCAACTTCCCCTTTACTTAAACCCACTGCAGTTAGCATTTAAAAAGCCCCTTATCAGCGCTGTGTTATCGACATACTCTCTCGCTTCCACCCCTTTTTCAGGCGGATATGCCTTTGTGTACGTCGCCCAAGATGTGCAAACTGGAACCGAGTACGCCCTCAAGCGTCTGCTCGGTGCTGATCAGCAGTCCTGCACTGCCATAATCAACGAGATCGGCATCCACAAACAACTCTCGGGGCACCGAAATATAGTCGAATTCGTGGGCTCCAGTTACACTGCCCCGTCTGCACAGCAAGGGGCACAGTATCTGCTACTCACGGAGCTGTGCAAAGGTAAGCGCGTCTATAGGGCCTCCAATTAGCACTTTATCTGAATTGGTATGGCTTACAGGCGGATCCCTGGTGGACTGCTTTAAAGCAAATAATGCTGCCATCGATCCACCTTTGGTGCTGCGCATCTTCTACCAAATGGCGCAAGGCGTGGCCTGCCTGCATTCCCAGTCGCCGCCGATCGCCCATCGAGACATAAAGGTAATATGTCTTACATAAAGACAATTTACGCCGTAATCCCCTCCAATTCCATTGCAGATCGAAAACTTCCTTATTGGCAACGACAAGCAGATCAAATTGTGTGACTTTGGCTCCTCCACGAAGGAGGAGCTCTCTCCCACGTTTGAGTGGAGTGCCAACCAGCGAAACATGCTAGAGGATCAGCTGAATACCGTGACTACGCCAATGTACCGGGCCCCAGAGATGCTCGATACTTGGTCCAATAACCCCATCGGTCCCAAAGCGGACATCTGGGCTCTCAGTTGTATCCTCTACTTCTTGTGCTACCGCAGGCATCCTTTCGAGGATGGCGGCAAGCTGCGAATCATCAACGCCAACTATATACTTCCTCCTGATCCTCAATACCAGAGCTTCCGAGATATCATCAGGGGCTGCTTCAAAGTGAACCCAGGCGACCGCCTGGACATCTCGATGGTGCTCGAACGCCTCGCAGCCATCGCGGAAACAAACAACTGGTCGCTCAAAGGGCCTCTAGATCTGCGTGGAATTCCTATCGAATCATTACCGATTGAGAGCCCCGCTCGAAAAAATTCAGTTAATTCAGAGTTTTACACCGAATCGTATGGTACCAGTCCGCACACAGCGTCCCCCGCCGTCGCCGCTTCCTCCTCCAGTAATGGACACGGAAGCTTGCTGTCATCGCTGCGTGGCGGAGCTGGAACGTTGTTTAAAAACATTAAGGATACATCGACCAAAGTGATGCAGACAATGCAGCAATCAATCGCACGCACCGATCTCGACATTAGCCACATTACCTCTCGGATTCTGGTTATGCCCTGTCCATCTGACGGATTTGAGTCGGCGTACAAGACAAACAACATCGAAGACGTTAGGCTTTCTTTGGAGAGTCGTTTCGCTCCTAACAAATTAAGCATTTACAACTTTGGTCAACGCACAGTGCCACGGCTTCCGCCCCCTGTTCGAACTGTTGAGGCAGGTTCCGTCTATGGGTGTCCGCAGGCTCATGCTCCCAATCTCCAGGTATGTAAATGGAAATCAAGAATATTGACTCGTCATGAAGTAAAATACGAGAAACTACCTTTGGGTACTAAAATACAAAATCCTATTTTTTTAAGTCTTACAGCGCCCAACTAATTTAGCTAATATATAGACTTTGGACTTTTTACAATTATAATATCACCTTTTAACTTTGACAAACAAATGAATAGGCTAAATTAAGTATTTTGTGTGCTAGAACCCGACAAACTCTGAAAATGTAGAAATTTCTGTTTATATCGGAAAAACTTTGATAAAATCCGACAAAAAATAGAGACGTGAACCATTTTATAGTTGCCGTCCCAAAGATCCAAACCAACAACATTTGAAAAAAATCCATGGTCAAATACATTTTATTTTGATTTTTAAAAATTGCAATGTTAGGCCTATAACCAACCCCTGAAATTTTAATTTAGTTTTGATCATTGTTATTCTTCTTTAATAATAATAAAAACTTGGATAAAATCCGACAAAAAATGGAGACGTGTACCATTTAAAGTTGCCGTCACAACGAACCAAACCAACCACAATTGGAAAAATCCATGGTCAAATATTTTTTGGTTGATTGCAATGTTTGGCCTATAACAGGCTGGCGCCTGAAATTTGAAGTTCAGTATTGATCATTGTTGTCAGATGTTGAACAGAGTTATACAAAAATTTTACCGAAAAAAAATATTTTTTAAAAAGCATTTTTTTAATTTGCAAAAAAACGTCAAATAAAAAAGTACCCCCTCATTGAAAATCTGTATCTGACTTCGTGTATTTTGCATTAATTCCTCTAAAAGATATAGTTGTCCGATCCGGCTGGTGCCGACTTATATATTACCTGCAATAGAAAAAAGATTTTTGGGAAAGATTCATCCCGATATTTTTAAAACTGAGAGACTAGTTTGCGTAGAAACGGGCGGACATGGCTAGATCGAATATCTTGTGATACCGATCAAGAATATATATATTTTATCGCATCGGAAACGTCTTTTTCATAAAGTATAAATATTTTTGATCAGCATCACTAAACGAGTCGTTCTAGCCATGTCCGTCAGTCCGTCCGTTGCTACGCAAACTAGTGGGGACGGAAACGTCTCCTTCACTGCGTTTCAAACTTCTGACTGAAATCATTATACCCTCTGCGAGGGTAATGGAAGCTAGCTTCGGTCAGCCGAAGCTTATATACCTTTGCAGATCATTCCTCTTAATTTACAAATCGCAAAAATGTTAAACTTCGTATTATTTTGACATAATTTTTTTATCTTTCCTATGGCAGCTATTTAATAGATTCGCCCGATTTATATTTAATTTACTTCGAAAATATTAAATAAAGTAATATCCTAGAGTAGGAAACAAGAGAGAACGCTATAGTCGGGTTATTGTCCCGACTATCTAATCCCCGTCACTCGGCTAAAGGGAGTGCGAGGGAGATGGATATATAACATTTTTTTGATTGCGTATATCTTTTTATTGAATGGTCCTATTTGAAAAATGCCTTCTACATTTCGATAGGTATAAATATACACAGCAAAATTGCATTTATACTTCTCGAAAATCTTTGAAAGTGTGGGCGTGGACAAGGCTAGATCGACTAGATCTAGTGACGCTGATCAAGAATATGCTTTATGGAGTCGCAAACTTCTGATCAAGGGTTTAATAATCGGATGACTATATTATATACCTGTCATAGGAAGATACAAAAATGAATGTCAAAGTAATACGAAAATTAACATTAACCTCTTAACGACGATCGCACCATCGACATACAAAAGTTATAATTCAGTTCTGATTTCGTCACTTCTTTTTGTTTTTGTTTTATATCAGAAGTTTTTGCTTTTAACATCAATTACTTTTGCTATAATACTCATATTAACTATTGTAATAGGATTTTAATCAATATATTTATATTTTGGCAAGGCCAACCCCAATTGGTTACTGTATCCCGAACTAAATTGTAGGAATTATATTCGAAGACATCCGAAATTCGACAAACAATTTTTAGTTAAAAACTTCTCTATAACAAAAAAAGGTCGCATAAAAAGCTAATCTTTGGATTTCGTTTATTTTTACCTATCGAAATGTAGAAGACATTTTTCAAATCAGACCATTCGTTAAAAAGTTATGCGCCATCTCCATCTCCCTCGCACTACCTCTAGCTGAGTAACGGGTATCTGATAGTCGGGTTACCTCTCATATTTATACCCTTGCAGAGGGTGTTATTATTTCAGTCAGAAGTTTGCAACGCAGTGAAGGAGACGTTTCCGACCCCATAAAGTATATATATTCCTGATCAGCATCACTAGACGAGTCGATCTAGCAGGATCGGACAACTATTCCTATAGCTTCCATAGGATGGATCCGAAAAGAAACGTTAAAAAATTCTAGCTTCGGTGTTTTTTGAAATAAAACTTTCTACTCTTGGGAATATTATTTTTTAAATATTTCTGAATTTCGAATTGAATATTTAAAAAATCGGACGACTATATCATATATCTGCCATAGGAACGATTAAATTGGGAAATTATTGGGAAAGTAATAGGAAATGAATTTTAGCTTCTTTGGCTTTTATTGAATTCTCTTCTACTCTAGGATATGACTCTTTTTAAATATTACCGAATTTCAATTTTAATTTTATAAAAATCGGACGACTATATCATAAAGCTGCCACATAAACGAACGAAAAATAATTGAAAATTAATTGGAAACAAATTATAGCTTCGTTGGTTTTTATTGTATTCTCTTCTACTCTAGGATATGATTTTTTTATATTTCAGAATTTCGAATTAAATTTAAACAAAAATCGGACGACTATATTATATAGTTGCCATAGGGAAGGATAGGAAAATAATCTAAAAATATTACGAAATTAAACATTTTTGCGATTTGTTAGTTAATAGGAATGATCTGCAAGGGTATACGGCTTCGGCTGGTCGAAGTTAGCTTCCTTTCTTGTTTTTAATGGTTTCCCGCCAAACTGGCGTGTCAAAAGTTGTAGAACAAAAGTTTCTTACATTGTCTTGCTTAACACTGTAAAAATAAGTACAGGATCCTATAACAACGATTGGGTGCATACAAACAAACAAAGGAACAAAAATTTTCATTTTGAAAAGAGCTCCAAAAACTTGAGTTTGGAATAACTTTTGAAGCATCGGATTTTCTTCTATGACCTCATTCGACGGGTATTTTTAATAGGAACACTAAAAATAATACTATGTGACATTTATCCCCATCGGCCCCAACAGCTCTAAGTTTTCAAATTTTCACTTTCACCGCTCTTTCTTACGAAATAATTAATTTCCCTAAAGTCTTGCAAGCCTTTAAGCTTTTGCGATACCTTACGATCGGACCATCACAGCAGATTTTCAATTCTGCGGCTATATAATAGTAGTCGTCTTCGCACACTCTCTTGGTGCGCTTCGACCCTACGTGGACTGCCGTCAACATTGATAATTTTTATACCCGTTACTCGTAGAGTAAAAGGGTGTATTGTATTCGTGCAAAAGAGTGTAAAAGGGAGAAAGAAGCGTTTCCGACCCTATAAAGTATATATATTCTTGATCAGGGTCACTAGCCGAGTCGATATAGCCATGTCCGCCTGTCCGTCTGTCTGTCTGTATGAACGCAGAGATCTCGGAAACTACAAAAGCTAGAAGGTTGAGATTTCCCACACATATTCTTGGGCTTCCTACGCAGCGCAAGTTTATTTCAGCCGAGCGCCACGCCCCCTCTAACGCCCACAACCGCCCACTAACGATTTAAAAATGTTTCTGGCGCCCACACCTTTAAAGATTTCCGATAAGTATAAATGCAAGACATTTTTTAAATCGGACCATTCATTAAAAAGTTATTCGCAATCAAAAAAATGTTATATATCCATCTCCCTCGCACTCCCTTTAGCCGAGTGACGGGTATAAGATAGTCGGGACACCAACCCGACTATAGCGTTCTCTCTTGTTTTTCTATTATATTTTTGATTATTCTTATGGGAGCCATAAGATATAATGGTCGGATCTACTAGAAAGAAGACTTTTGGGAAAGTTTCGTTGCGATAGCTTTAAAACTGAGGGACTAGTTCGCATAGAAACGGACAGACGGACAGACGGACATGGCTAGATGGACTCGGCTATTGATGCTGATCAAGAATATATATACTTTATGTGGTCGGAAAGGTCTCCTTCACTGCGTTGCAAACATCTGACTGAAATTATAATACCCTCTGCAAGGGTATAAAGATAAATTAAAGTCTTTTAATTTCTTTTTACAATTAATGATGACAATCAAACCTCTTTTTACATTAGGACCTTTTTACCGTGTCAGCAGATATATATAATTTCCTCAACGCGGACCCGAAATCAATTGTGATTGTGCAGACAGGAGACTCGGGTGGGTGCACTGCCGCCACAGTCATCTGCGCTCTACTCATGTATGCGGACTTGCTGCAGGAGCCGGAAGATGCCGTGCAGGTTTTCGCCGTAAAGCGCCACACCATAAACCTGCGTCCCTCTGAATTTCGCTACCTGTACTACTTCGGTGACATCCTACGCCCCACGCCCCTGCTGCCACACTACAAGAACATAAATCTTGTGTCCCTTTGTTGCCAGCCTGTTCCCAAAATGACCAAGTCGCGCGACGGATGCCGGATTTACATGGAAGTATATTGTAACGAGAACCTATTGCTTAGCACACTGCAGGAATATGAAAAGATGCGGTATGATTGGTTCGAACAAAAGTGATTTAAATACCTAAATATTAAAGTACATTTTTTGGTTGGCAGATTACACCAGGCAGTGGCCGGAAAAATAGTGTTGCCGATCAATTTGACCGTCTGTGGTGATGTGACTGTGGTGTTGTACCACGCCCGAAAGGGAATGGTGCGACCACAAGGCCTTAAGATATGTCAATTTCAAATAAATACGGGATTTATCCCTGAACCAGAAACGCTGATTACGTTTACAAGCCAGGACCTGGATGACCTGCCAGATCCTGAACAAGTGGCTCCGAGTTTCTGCGTGTCGCTCTCGCTGGCGGTGACTGACTCGGAAACCCTTCCCAGCCACAGGCCGCCATGGATGCCGGCAAAACCCATGCGATCGCCAGCCGCTCTGTTCAGCTCGGATCTGGAATTCGCAGAAATGCTGGACAATTTTGGTAAGTGCTTAAGCTTGTTGGATCTGTGCATTGTTTTCAACATATTCTGGTAATCTAGTGACAAAGCCCACCACGCGTGCGTTGCCACCGCTTGGGCTGCGAAAGAGTGATTGCTCCAGCTCTCCGCACGTTTTGCCGGATGTCACAGAAATTGCCCATGAACCTACGCCTGTGCCAGAGCCTTCTCCGCCCATTGACCTGCTAAACCTGAACCAGCAGCCTAGTGACGCGCCGGCGGCCGATCCTTTAACTAGCGCTAAGCCCAGCACAGATGCTAGCTTTGACTTGTTAGGGGCCTTTGGCGATGATGACTGCACGGGTATAGGCTCTGCGCCGATTCCCGACATCCTTCCACCACCGCCACTGCAGCATCCACCGTCGAGAATCAACACTGACCCGTTCGACATATTTGGCTCTGTGGACCAAGGCAACGCAGCCAGCATTAAGCCATCGGCTGGACCAGACCTTCCACCATTTGTTGGCTCCCTGCCAACTTTTGTAACTAACCCCGCGGTCACTAAAACTGATGCGTCACCATCGCAGCCTCCTAAGGCATCTGCAGATCCCTTTGCTGACATCGCCAACCTGGCTTCAGGACTCAACATAACTTTTAACCGGAGCACCCTGAGTGGAAAGTCTCCTGTCGGCACTAGTCCCCAGCCGACTCAGTTCTCTAGCCCAACTCACCGGCCGTCCCCATCCTCACAGCCCCAGGGGACGTATATGCAGACACCAACACAACAACATTCTCAGCCGACGATGTCTGCCAGGCCAACGCCGCAGTCACAGTCAGTACCTGCCCAACCGCGTCCGGACTACAGTCGAGTCCACTTCGATTCACAGAAGCCAGCACAGCAAGCGGGTGGTGGTGGAACCAAGAGCTCCGACATATTTGCAGACATTTTAGGCCAACAAGGCTACTCCTTCGGCAGCAAAATGAATCAGGGTCCGCGGTCCATCAACGAAATGCGGAAGGAAGATTTGGTTAGAGATATGGACCCCAAGAAAGTGCGAATTATGGAATGGGTAAGGCATTACGGTGAAGATATAGGAGCCGCCGTTTATTTTTTCAATTTTCAGACCGATGGAAAGAAAAACAACATCCGTGCGCTCCTGTGCTCCATGCACACCGTACTGTGGGACAACGCAAAGTGGAACCGCTGCGAAATGTCCACCATGGTGACCCCGACTGAGGTGAAGAAGGCATACCGCCGCGCCTGCCTGGCAGTACATCCTGACAAGGTAGGTGACATGTGCTAAATGAAATCCTTTTTTTTAATATAACTTATTTTTAGCACAATGGAACAGAGAACGAGGAGATTGCCAAGCTCATTTTTATGGAACTGAACAATGCATGGACAGATTTCGAAAACGATGCCACGCAGCAAAATATGTTCAATGCGTAAAACGCGTCCTATACCTGTATATTTAAGGCAATTAGCCGTAATTATCGTATTCTTAGCGAAATCTAGTTTAAATTCATGTAAGAGTGTAAGCTTTAATCTGTAACGTCAAAGTATTGGCTAACGTCACCATCTGCGCAGGCAATTTAGATAGCCCAAAAAAATTCCTTTGAAATTCTGAACACTCAAGGACATTTTACTTAATTTGTATACCAGCAATGCCAATTCCAACATTCCTATACCAATGTAGAAAATCCAAGTACTCAGACCGCGGTGATTATCGACTAAAATGGCCGGGAGATTACACGCCTTATCCATCATCCCATAGAAATCGATATTTCGTATATAAAAATATATACTCTTTATTCGCAGCAATAAGATTAATTACGATATGTCCTTGACCCATTTATAGCCAATATGTGATTAAACTATAAATTGATGGATAATAAGAGTTTATGTACATAACTTTTCAGAGTATAAAATGTAAAACTAAATGTAGTTTTACTTTTTAAAAGTTCAACTGTACATAAGAAAAGAATATGGGAGGTTAACTAAAAGCTAAAATCCGTTTCAGCATTTAATGTTTGTCGCTATAAAAATAAAATATCCTTACGTTTTCCTGTGAGATGACGCTGTTGAAATTCTAGCTGCTTTATTCCAACTGACATCCTTTTTTAATAGACTTGCCGGCGACAAAAACCTCCAAAATATTGCGATCACTACCGGTGTAAATAAACTTCTCCACCAGCTCGTCGACATTCAGCTTCCGCACCGGATTGTCTACAACGCTTACGTCCACTAAAAGGGCATCAAACTCCTTTCCGAAGACGAAGTTTCCAGTCAGGTGGTCCAGGGAGAGCGCCTTGGCTCCGCCCAACGTGGCCAAGTAGAGTGCCTGTTTGTACTTTAGCTGGACGTAGTTCGGATCTTGTTTTTTGGCCTCCCCCGTTCCGCGAATGTTCTGCTTCTTGAAGAAGTCCAGGTGCTTAGACACGTCCAACGCGCGTAGCAGGGCGTCCTGAATTGAAACAGAGTTTCCACCCGAAACGTCTGTGCCCAGGCCCACGGTGACGCCGTTGGTAACCAGCCGCTGAACGTCGCATAGACCTGAGCTGAGCATCGTGTTTGATGCAGGACAATGTGCCACCGAGCATCCGCGAGATTTAAGGAGTTCAACCTCGTCGTCCTCGAGATGTACGCCATGCGCCATTACCGTCTGCAATTTAAGATGGATGAAGAGACGTCACAAACAGAAGCTTGAGCGGAGTAACCTTGTTGGTCAGGAGTCCAGCCTCGTCGTAAGCTCCGGCGTAACTAGTCTTGAAGATCCCCTTCACCACCTCGATCTCTGCCAGATTTTCGCTGATGTGGCTCTGGACGTGCAGATCGAATCGCTTCGCTATATCGCCCAGATCCTTTAACAGTTCCTTGCTGCAGCTGAGGGCGAAGCGGGGCGTGATTGTGGGCAGCACAAGGGAACTTCCGAGCTTGCGCATTTCCTGCACGAACGCCAGAGTAGCGCTGGCCGACTCCTCCGCAGTCTCCCTGTACGGAAGAACGTTGGTGAGTTGACCAGACCAAATCGGTCACGCTCGGTACTCACACGTAGAAATCGGGGCTGTTGCAGTTCGAGCAGACCTTGCCAACGAGCGCCCGCTGACCTTGGCGCACCGCCTCGCGCGCCAAGATCAGCGTCGACTCCAGGTGGTTCGTGGCGAAATAGGACGCCAGGGTGGTTCCGCAGCGCAGCGTTGCTTGCTGGGGGTATCGCATTATCATTATCAGTAAATTGAAATCGACAGCAGATAAGGAGTACGGGTGCTCCCAAGCTACTTACGACAACGCTTTGGTAGACCTGTTGGGCGTAAAGGTGGTCGGAAAACTTAGCCTCCAGCGGGAAGGTGTACTTGTTCAACCAGTCCAGAAGAGGCATGTCAAGCCCCAGGCCCACTTGTGCGAACTGCGGGGCGTGTATGTGGCAGTCGACGAAGCCCGGCATGAGGAACTGGTAATCCGTCAGCCGAACCTCGGCCAAATCCTTGGTCCTGACCGGGTTGCTGGACACCCACTGCTGAAAGTCATGGCCCACACCTATTATCTGCGTGCGAAACAACATTAAGACACTGTTTTATAGTGACAAGTCATGGTGAACACCTTTCCGCCGTCATCCACTGCCAGGAATCCATTTTCAAAGGACTCAAATTCGTTGAAGGACTTGGTATGCACGATAGTTCCATGAAAAACAGTTGCCATCGCGGAGGTTTTCCTATCAGGGAGAATCTAAACGTGTTCCCGATCAGACTTCAGAACACGCAATGATTATGGTCTACTCAACAAGTTTTTAAATTGTCGCCAAGATGCACGCGTCTCAAAGCGAATGGCCCTATAATCACTTAATTATACAGAATGACACTTGCCATTGTGACACATTTTTCAGCGAAAACGTTGTCTACGGCAATATTAAAATTATTATTATTTTTAAAGACGATCGATTTTGCTTTTAAAATATGAAAAAAGACAGTTTATTTGGTATAATCCGAAGTAGGCACATTCTTAATTAACAAGCTTCGCAAGACAGAATGTTGATGCTGCCAACTTATTAGGGGATGTCTATATACATATCACAATTTCTTTTTTTTTTTATTAGGCTTTGATTTCAACGAATGTTGAAAATGAAGGTTGGTCGCACGACTAGTGCATATGACCAGATACTTTGTCTTGAATTTTGTGTTACACAAACTTAACCTAAAAGTGAATCCACACCACGAGGTCCCTTGCCCTACCCGGCGTGAAATGTGCGTGTTTCTTCAAAGGCCTGTGAATGTGGACCGAATATATATCACAATTTCGACGATACAAAGAAAAAATTGTTTTGCACTAATGCGCCAGTTAGGGTCGATGTCTTGAACGCACCAGTTTAGGAATACAATACTTGGCGCCAGTTGACTTGTTTGATCGGGTGAACTCTGAAAACTTCGGTCACACTACAAAATAATAATTTTGTGAAACTCTTAGGGCCGGTTTCTCGAGTGCCGGCTAACATTTCTCGAACAGATAAAGTAACTGCTAATGTGTTTGGCTTTCTCGAGCATCAATGTGAGAGCTAACTTTGACAGGAACTCGGAGTCCCTGTTAAGCGTTTTCGACTCGATAGAATGACAGCTGATTTTCCAAAGCCAACTAAGAAGAAGAAACGAAATCACAGCTGACTTTTCCTTTGAATTACACCCAAACAGCTGATGAAATAATCGAATCACCCCATTTTTTGTGTTTGTACGTTAACAGCACTCTGTAATTGTTTCTCGTTCACATAAATTAAAGCAGTCGAGTAAGCGGATATGCTTTTACGAACAGTTTATCTGGTCTTTAAGTTTTCGAACAGATAGCTATCAGGGACTTTGACAGGGACTCGAGAAACCGGCCCGTCAAAGTTGGATGACGGACTTTGAAGGGGTCTTTTATGCGATAGTTAGGCGATGTTTTCTCGGTGCAACTCCGAATTCTTCCTCTTGACTGTGAAAATTTGAACGATGACTGCGAGAACAAATCAAATCGAATTAAATAATGCTTCAGATCATTGTTTTTTGTTTTTTTTTTTAATTATTTGTAGTTTGTTATGAGCGGAAATGCGTTCGCAAGCAGGTTGCTATGTGTGGGCCAAAATGTAAGCTGTTATGCGTACGAAAACATCAATGTTCTGCACTTCATAAATATAACTAATATTAATTAAAAGTGTACTTTTTACTCCTATAAAGTTGCAAAGTAGCTATAAATTACCAAAAACAGCAGAAATTTTTTTTTCTTTTTACATATTTGCCATATTAATATTGGCTAGGCAGAGGCGCAGTAAGAGCGGAGTATGGGGTACGGGAGGTTAGATTCTCCCCCAGTCAGCAATATGTATGCATACTCGTTATAGGATATGTTATAAAAGCTTAGATATGTTTTAAACTATTATCTTATGCTATTTATTGTATTATTCTACAATAAGATTAGGAGAACGCAATTTTACGACATTTGTCACGAGTTAAAATTCCCCTTCGTTAATGTTGAGCTAAGCAACTGCTCTTCAGTCAGCTGTTATTGGATGGTGGATGGAGTTCTGTGGGAACGTGAGTTTCACATTCGTCAAAAATTCTCATGGATGGACTCTATGAGAAGAGGCTATTACTTGCTCTCTTTTGTTCACATGTTCAGTTTAGGGATGTCAAAAATATATCAAAATATCAATATATCGATATTTTTTGCAAAAAAAAATATATTTATATCGTGATATTTATTTAGCCAAATATCACAATATCGATATTTTATTTTTCGATATTATTTGATATTTGCATATCTTTCTCTCATCTGTGCACAAAAAAATGAAGCGTGTTAAAATTTATTTCGGTGAATTTAATAACAAAAAACTAAGTGCAAACTTTGTTTTAAAACTATTAAAACATGTGGGAATACATCAAAAATGTTATCCCACTTGAAAAACAAAAACTTTTATGTGTGGAGCTAATAAAATAAGAAATTTCATAAAACGTATTATATTGTTTATACTTTTCTAGTGCTTTTACATTAATTTTAGGGCAAAAGTCTTTGTTGTTAGCTTATTTACGCGGCTAAAATTTTGAAATTCAACTGAAAAAAAAATATCAAAAGTATCTGATATATCGATGTTTTTTTGGCGATATATTATATCAAATAAAAACACCTCTTAACGAGGTAAAAAACTAGTGACGATCGCACCTTCAACATACAAAAGTTCTGATATCAACATTTGTGACGAAAAATTATTACACTCGTCATTAAATAGACTTTCTAATATTTTCTCATTCGGCACGCTGCAATAGAAAATGCCTGTGAAGGGAAAAAGGCTGGAATAGTTTGCTAGGGCGGGCCGAATGAGAAAATCTTAGAAAGTGTATTTAATGACGAGTGTAATAATTTTTCGTCACAAATGTTGATATCAGAACTTTTGTATGTTGAAGGTGCGATCGTCACTAGTTTTTTACCTTGTTAAGAGGTGTTTTTATTTGATATCAGAAGTTTTTCTTTGTTCATATTTGCTCTCATAGGAGCTAGTATATACATTTAAATTTAAATTGGTCAATCATAATTTGTAAACCATTGTATTTAAACAAATTAAGTTAAAAAGGCGTTTAAGTATTTCAAAATACCTTTTAAACGAGGTATAGCACATATCTGTAGCTTCAGTAGTGTAGAACTTACAATCTAACGAAATTTAGCTTTTTCTAGCTTTTTTTCCGCTAAAGCAGCGGGTTTTTCCAAAAGTCGTAGAACAAAAGTTTCCTATTTGGAACTCCTTAAAACAATTGAAATGATTCTATGAGCCTAAAATACAGTTTGGATACCCACGCACAAAATTAAACACTCAGGAAGCGTTAGTTGTTCTGAGCTGGCAAAAGTGGCTATTTTCGTTTCTGAATAACTTTTAAACGCGATTTTTTACATAAACATGATATATACCAAAATTTAAGGAATCTCAAGGGCTATACAGTTTAAAGTTGTAAGGAAAATCGTTAGAGCCGTTTTTGAGAAAATTAAAAAAAAGCTAAAAAAAAAGTTTAAAAAAAAATGGTATTTTGTTTATATTTTTTTAATTTATAGCAATTAAAAATACCTTTCAAACGAGATGCAGCACAAGTCTGTAGCTTTAGTAGTATAGAAGTTACGGCTTTCCGAATTTTAGCTATTTATAGCTGTTTTCCCGCTAAATTAGCTAGTTTTTCCAAAAGTGGTAGAACAAAAGTTTTTTATATCGACGTGATGAACGTCATATCAAATTTTCAGAACTTAAAAAACATATTTTGGACAAGTGGACAAACTGACAAACAGAATTAAATTTTCATTTTGGGAAGAAGAAGAAAATCTTATTTTGGCTATAACTTTTGAACGGAGCGTCGGATTTTATCGTATGACCCCTCATGGGTATTTTCAATAAGAACACAACTAAAACATTGCGAGGGGGCATTTATCCCCACCAACCCCATCAGCTCCAAAATTCGAAATTTTTACTTTTTCACTTTCACTGCTCTCTCTCCCAAGCCAATTGATTTTCTTAAAGTCTTGGTATGCAATCCTTTAAGTTTTTGCAATACCTTTCGATTGGTGTATTACTCATTACGATCGGACTATCACAGCAGATTTTCAATTTTGCGGCTATATAATAGTAGTCGCCTTCGCACACTCTCCTGGTGCGCTTCGTCACTACATGGACTGCCGTCCATAGTGATATCATATTGATATTTTTCTTAAAGAAAATATATCAGCGATACGATATTTTTCAAATATTTGACATCCCTAGTTCAGTTTGGCTCTCTTATTTGATATTTTTAGTTCACTTGCTCAGTTGCTCTCTTGCTGTTTTTGGCTCAAAAAGTATTTTTTTTAACTTTTATGATGCATTTCGCATTCGGTTTTACAGTCAATCAGCTGATTTCTCAGAGCCAGTGATAAAGTTAAGAACAGAACAGTGAGCAAGTATACAAGTGAACAAGTGAGCGAGCTGAGTGAGTTGACTCATTGGGAAAAAGTTAATAAATATTTAGCAATCACTTCAGGGTTCTTGTTTTTTATTGGATTCTATAAAAGGCTTATCTTAAACCGAACCTCTGTAGAACTTTCTATTTCTTCACAGCACCCATTCGGCTGGCATCCTGGCTGGGATAGGGTACTTGGCCAGGTGGCGGAGGTATCGATATGGAGTCAAGACTCACACCCGAGGTAGAAGCGCCTGTGGAACTGGCATTGCCGTAGGGCGCCGCGTAGGTCGGCTGACCGTACATCTGGTATGCCGACGCCGGGACAAGGTTCGAAGGTAGCTGGTGCAGCTTCATTCCGGCAGGCATGACGTTGATCTGCTCCTGGCGCAGATTAAAGTAGTCGTTCGGCTTCGCACTGGGTGGCGGAATGCCGGTGATGTCAAAGCGTCTGTCTGTCTTTGCGGCGGTGTTTTGTTTGGCCTGGGAGTGGGCCCACTTAATGCTAACCTTCCGGCCCTGGATCACCAATTTGTTAAAGGTTCGCTCGGCGGCCAGCTCTGCAGCGTTCCTCTTGGTGTACTGCACAAAAGCGCACTGCTGGCGTGGCACCAAGGCGATGGAACGAATTTCTCCGAACTGGTAGAACTGATCTCGCAGCTCTGGCTCAGTAATTTCCTCGGGGAGGTTTCCCACATACAAAGTGGTTATATTGCGGTCCTCCGGCGGCTCGAGGGTAGGAAGCGAGGCTGCCCGCTTCATGATTTTCTCGGCAACTGGGTCGTTTCGTCCGTAGTACCTGTCCTTGATGTTCTGCTCGCACAGCGGGTCGTCAGGCTCGTTGGGTTTGTCGTGCCGGTAGGGGCACTCCTCGCCACGCTTGCACTCTCCCTTGACCCAGAAGGAACATATGTGCGGCCTGTTTCGCTTGTAGTACGGCGCCGTGCGCGCCAGCTTGGAAAGCATCTCGTTAGCCGCGAGGGATCGGCCAACTGCCCCGGCCGCCTCAGTTCCATCTCCGTCCTGCAGCTGGGCGTCAATGTTCTGGATGTAGTACTCCTTGTTGACGTCGCTCTGCGGCATATTGTCTGCCACTTTGAGGGCGGCGTCGCGAACCTGAATGGGTAATCCGTACTCGAGATCCAGAAGGCAGGTCTGACACACGTTCTTCAGGCGCGCACATGTTTGGCATATCTCCGTCTTTTTAAAGCGCATCCGGGCGCCAGGACACCATCGAAATATGGTGAACGGACGCGTGCAAATCTTGCATTCCTTTCCAAAGCGCTCCTTGATCATCCTCACGTACGGATTGTCACCCAGGCAAGTCTGGCACAGAATCGGGAACTCGGCGTCCTCCCAGTTCTGCCGATTGTAGGTGTTCGTGGTTTTCGACATGGACATGACGACGGCTGTACTGTTTTCGTTACCTAAAACCTGGGCTAAAACCAGATAATGCTCACTTTTTCTTCTAAAATGGTGATTGGTGTCGAACGAAACGCCGATATATTGAACATAAAGAAAATTGTTCGCTCAAGCAATCGATAGTTTTTGGTAACAAAAATAGCATAGTCACACTATTTAAATAGGGTATTCACCAGTCCTGGCAGGTGTCGCAAATGGCTGCTATGGCAGAGGAAAACAACAACAAAATATAAGAAAATTAAATTCTGGACCTCCCGTAAGTCGACCTAAGCTTATAATTTTAAAATTTACCATTTAACACCTGGACTCCTTTTTTAAGCATCAAATTTGGGAGATGTATGCCCCTTTACAATTTTGGGTAATTGTCTAAAAAAGGGCCTGTGTCTCGAAAATCGCAAAAAAATTACCCTTAGGAATTTACGTGCTCTTGTAATTGCATTTTCTAGGATTTTAAGGTGTTTTGTGACATTTTGCTATAAAAAACATATGGGCTTTCCGTTTGCTGTCAAAATAATAGGCGTTCGAAAAAACTCGACTAAAAAAAAAAATGTTTTTATAGCTAACCAGACCCTACAACCGTGAATTAAATATCCTCGATGGACCGTGATTCCTTAAGAGCTTGAGCGACCATGGATGACCAAAATATGCAATTTAAATAAATATTTTTTGCCTGCAGCGCATAGCACTTTACATTTTCTTTAGTACATGTATTGCGGTTAGAATTATACAATGCGTGCCTTATTGGTATAGCCTTTTATACAATTTTCTTTAAAAATATAAAAATTAAAGGTTTTATTTCACATTTTTGTCGAATTTTTTCGAACGCTTATTATTTTGACAACAAGAACATATGGCCTGTTCTTTAAAGCAAAATGTCACAAAACGCCTAAAAATCCTAGAAAATTATACGTTGGGTTTATAGCAAAACACGGAACTTTGAAATGCTTTTACAAGAAAATCATGCATTTCCGCCGATAATCTTCTGCACGTAAATTCCTAAGAAATCGCGGTCCATCGAGGGTAATTTTACCCAATTGTGTAAGGAGTATAAATGCGTATAATGCTTTGAGGCAAGGTCTTGCCAAGAAGAATGTTGATTATTCCTTTAAAAAAAGCATAGCAATATGAAATCATTTCCGAATTCCGAGCCGTTGCAAGCCTCTTTGGTTCTGATCCCAAGAACTCTTATATTTTCTTGGGCCGTTGCAGTGCAATGCATTTCCTTTCCACCTTAACTCGTATAAATACAGAAAAAATCGTCCCATTTTGGCACATTAATTTCTTATAAAGAAAAAGTCGCTGAAGCTGAAGATGACCGCTGAAGCGAAAGCCCCCTCTGTATGAACGGACTATAACGCGCCTTAAGCCCATACAAAGTTGCAGTGGAATTACCTCATAATGTTGGATTTCTGAGTTTGTGAATATTTTGGTATTTTTATGGCTGGATATTTTAAAATGGTCGCACCTTGTCTTGTGTTTGTTTTGAAGCAGGTCCAAACAGAAAAACGGATCGGTTGATATGGCGCAGGTTAAGCGCTACCGGAGGTCCTCAAAGTCCTCAGAGGACGGAGACCAGGACAACGAGGAGTACGTGCCGTACGTGCCTGTGAAAGAACGGAAGAAGCAGCATATGATGAAGCTGGGCCGGATCGTTCAGCTGGCGTCGGAGACGACGCAGCCAAAGTCCTCGAGCGAAAACGAGAACGAGGATGACTCCCAGGGCGCTCACGATGCAGAGACTTGGGGACGCAAGTACAATATAAGTTTGCTGGACCAACACACCGAATTGAAAAAGATTGCGGAGGCAAAGAAGCTGAGCGCCGTGGAAAAACAGCTGCGCGAGGAGGAGAAGATCATGGAAAGCATTGCCCAGCAGAAGGCGCTTATGGGTGTGGCCGAGTTGGCCAAGGGCATTCAATACGAGGAACCTATCAAGACCTCATGGCGTCCGCCACGCTACATTCGGGCCATGCCGGAGGAAGAGCGCCAAGCCGTGCGCCAGCAGTTGAGAATCCTCGTGGAGGGCGAGAACCCAAGCCCGCCAATCCGCAGTTTTCGGGAAATGAAGTTCCCAAAAGGAATTCTCAATGGCCTGGCGGCTAAGGGGATCAAAACCCCCACTCCAATCCAGGTCCAAGGTCTGCCCACTGTGCTGGCGGGACGCGACCTTATTGGCATAGCCTTCACTGGCTCTGGCAAGACTCTGGTCTTCGTGCTCCCTGTCATCATGTTTGCCCTAGAACAGGAGTTCAGCCTACCCTTTGAGCGGAATGAGGGACCCTACGGGTTGATCATCTGCCCTTCCCGCGAGCTGGCCAAGCAAACCCATGAGATCATCCAACACTACAGCAAGCACCTCCAAGCGTGCGGCATGCCTGAGGTTCGTTCCTGTTTGGCTATGGGGGGGCTACCGGTCAGCGAAGCCCTGGATGTAATATCGCGCGGAGTACATATTGTTGTGGCAACACCCGGTCGCCTCATGGACATGCTGGACAAGAAGATCCTCACGCTGGATATGTGTCGCTACCTGTGCATGGACGAGGCTGATCGCATGATTGACATGGGATTTGAAGAGGACGTTCGTACGATATTCTCCTTCTTCAAGGGACAGCGTCAGACGTTGTTGTTTTCCGCCACCATGCCGAAAAAGATCCAGAACTTTGCCCGCTCCGCTCTCGTAAAGCCAGTCACTATTAATGTTGGTCGCGCAGGTGCCGCGTCAATGAACGTCACCCAGCAGGTTGAGTACGTGAAACAGGAAGCCAAGGTGGTTTATTTGTTGGACTGCCTACAGAAGACAGCGCCGCCCGTGCTCATTTTTGCGGAGAAAAAACAGGACGTGGACTGCATACATGAGTACCTGCTGTTAAAAGGTGTGGAGGCGGTGGCCATACACGGCGGAAAAGATCAGGAAGAACGGTCACGGGCCGTAGATGCGTACCGCGTGGGCAAAAAAGATGTGCTGGTAGCCACGGACGTGGCCTCGAAGGGCCTGGACTTTCCCAACGTGCAGCACGTAATTAACTACGACATGCCAGACGATATCGAAAACTATGTGCATCGCATCGGCCGCACAGGTCGGTCCAACACAAAGGGCTTAGCAACCACATTGATTAACAAGATCACCGAGCAGTCTGTATTGCTCGACCTCAAGCATCTGCTCATCGAGGGCAAGCAGGAGGTGCCCGATTTCTTGGACGAGCTGGCGCCGGAGGCCGAGCACCAGCACCTGGACTTGGGCGATTCCCATGGTTGCACCTATTGTGGCGGTCTGGGTCATCGTATCACAGAGTGTCCAAAGCTGGAGGCCGTCCAGAATAAGCAGGCTTCTAACATAGGACGTCGCGACTATTTGTCAAATACTGCTGCAGATTACTAAACCACTGCCTTGACCTATGTGTAAGAATACTGCGACGCAGGAATAAATCTATCGTATACATTCAAACATACATTTCTGGGAATTTTTAAAATTTGTGTTTACTTTATTTTGAATTTCGTTACTTATGGGACAAAGCTTTGCTTATCAATCACTCAGCAACCTCAGAGAGCGATCGCTTCCACTCGTGAGAGCAATTCAGGCTTGAGCAAAGTGTTATAAAAGCGAAGACAAGCTTTGACTTTCGTTTAGTGTCTGGGACAGACCACTTTCCGTCTGTTGCTCGCAGTTTGTTTCAAACAATCAATCGGACCGGGTTCGTCCGAAATCGCGCTGATCACATACATAGGAACACAAGTAAGTGCGTCCCCTTAAATATTAGTATTTTGTCACAATGCATATGTTATAGATAGGGTCAGCCAGTTATGTACTAATGTTTTAAAACATTTGTGTAACACTGTAATTTAAAGCATGTAAATAGTAAAAAAAAATGTGAAAATAAACAAGCAAAATTAATATAAGTAAGGGCTGATTACATAAAAACAAGTGCAATCATGAATAGAGAACAAAATCTTCAGTTATCATTTTGCTGAGCTCATTTTGTTAAATTAGATGCTGATTTGTCTTATCAATTATTGTGAAAAATATAAATGGAACTGAGGTCGAAACCAATGATTTTAATGGAAAACAAGGTACGGAACTTGCTAAATACATATAAACAAATAAATATACAGCAAATCTGTGGAACAGTCAATTATTTAGTTACAATTCCTAAGATCGTCCCTCTTTACTGAAGAATGAAATTAAGTATACATTTTTTATCCGTTACTCGTAGAGTAAAAGGGTATATTGTATTCATGCAAAAGTATGTAACAACTAGAAGGAAGCATTTCCGACCCTTAGAGTATATATATTATATTTTCCATTCTGCGGTCGATATAGCCATGTCTGTCTGTCCGTCTGTGTCTCCGTCCGTTTGTTTGTCTGTATAAACGCTGAGATCTCGGAAACTACAAAAGCTAGAAAGTTGGGATTACCCACACATATTCTTGGACTTCCTACGCAGCGCAAGTTTGTTTCAGCCGAGCGCCACGCCCCCTCTAACGGCCGCAATCGCCCTAAACGATTTTAAAAGGCGTCTGGCGCCCACACCTTTAAAGATTTCGGAAAAGTAAAAATGCTGTTTCTTTATGTTTATCAATAGCTTTCGAAATGTAGAAAAAAAATTTTCAAATCGGACCATTCGGTAAAAAGTAAAGCCCGTTCAAAGTTTTATGTCTTCATCTCCCTCGCACTCCATTTAGCTGAGTAACGGGTATCTGATTGTCGGGGCACCCGACTATAGCGTTCTCTCTTGTTTGTTTTCTATTCGGTAGCTTAATTTAGTAAAACCCAGTTTATTACATTTCTCTACAAGCTCTTAGATTAAGGCCCCATAGCTATAGCTAAATTTAAGTTCGCCTGTAAATTTTACTTTATAGCCGCACATTTTATAATACTAATAATAATTTAGATACACGGAATCCTCTTTGTTCACAGGTTTCAAACTCATTATTAATTGTGATGGATGAGCTATGTAGCTGCCATCTTTTAAATAATACATAAGAGTCTTCATATTTGTGCGTAGTTCATATTCATAAGGCTACCTGCGAAAAAAACAAAAGCTTTGAAATGTCCATGTGCATACTTAATGCATGAGGTATTATACGGTAATACATAAATCTGTTCTTTGTCACTAATGTAGAAAAAAAGCTGGTTTTCTTTGTATACCCTAGCAGAAGGTATTACAATTTTGCTCAGAAGTTTGTAACGCAGTGAAGAACGACCCGACCCGATAAGTATATATATTTTTATTAACGGGGGTTTCACAGAAATCGATTGAAATTTTAAGAGCAACCAATTCTTAGAATATTAAAAAAATACAAATTTTAAGTGCATAATTACTATTTTTTTTTTAATTTTTTAAAAGTGGTCCAAAAAAGTTGGGGTTTTTTTATATATTCTTGGACGTAAAATAGTGTTACACCCTAGATCGCCGTTTAATTTTTTTTTTTAAGGTTTAGATAGTTAATTACAAATTCTGAAAAAATTAGCCTGCCCTCTTCTGAGAAAACTCAGTTTAAGTTAGCAAGAAATGTTTATAATTTAAAATATCGTCAGCCCTGGTTCATCCGCGCGCCTCAAATATCATGATGATATTTTACTTATGAGTGATTCTTTGTAAAACGTATCGAGATTTTCTTCATGGTCTCAAAACGATATCTAATTTTTATGATACTATCACACCATTTAAAAAGGATTTTTAAAAAAGTTTAAAAAAAAATCCATTTGACAGAAGCGAAGATATGGCGATTCTATTTTTTTGTTTAATTCATTTATAATTTTAAATTACGTGGGGTAAAAAATAAATAAAAATAATCTAAAATTATTATTTTTGCCAAGCTTTAAGACGAAAATAACAGCCATAATGGTTCCAATGCAAAATACGTTACAAACTTAAAAAAAAATATTTCATTCGCGGTTTTCTGCAAATCGGCATTTTTAATCTTTATAAAAAAAAATAGCATTATGTTCTATACATAATTCTTGTTGGCTTCTGAAAGTTTCGTCATGGGACCTCCATTACTTTCTGCATAATTTAATAAAACAATAAAAAACAAAGCAGTCTTTCGTTGTTATACATTATGCATATTCAGCGTTCGTCTGTCCGTCTGTCCGTTTCTATGCGAACTAGTCCCTCAGTTTTAAAGCTATCGCGATGAAACTTTCCCAAAAGTCTTCTTTCTATTGCAGGGTACATATGTCGGAACGAGCCGGATCGGACCACTATATCTTATGGCTCTCATAGGAATAATCAAAAAAATAATAGAAAAACCATTGTAACTTTGTAGAAAGTAGGCGTTTTGATCTTTGACATTGTAAAAACAAGAAAGGCAGTTAACTTCGGCCAGCCGAAGTGTATATACCCTTGCAGATATGCCTACTTAGGGCCGGTTTCTCGAGTCCCTGTCAAAGTCCCTGATAGCTATCTGTTCGAAAAACTTAAATACCAGATAAACTGTTCGTAAAAGCAAATCCGCTTTCTCGACTGCTTTAATTTATCTGAACGAGAAACAATTACAGAGTGCTGTTAACGCACAGAATTGTGCTGTGAAGGGCAAAAAATGGCATGATTCAAAGGAAAAGTCAGCTGTGATTTCGTTTCATCTTCATAGTTGGCTTTGGGAAATCAGCTGTCATTCTATCGAGCCGAAAACGCTTAACAGGGACTCCGAGTCCCTGTCAAAGTTAGCTCTCACATTGGTGCTCGAGAAAGCCAAAATGCCTTAGCAGGGACTTTATCTGTTCGAGAAATTTTAGCCGGCACTCGAGAAACCGGCCCTTAAAATGTTGTTTTTACATTGTCAAAAATCAAAACGCCTACTTTCTATTGCTATTTATGCTATTATAGTAAAATTTACATATATGAAATTTGCAAGGGTATTAAAACCTCGGTTTGCCGAAGCTAGCTTCCGTTCTCGTGTTATTTGGGGTTTGACCCACTTGCAGGGAAAGGCTAAACGGGATTGACGCTTGACACAAGCAATCGTGATATCATCCCAGGCGAGCCAACTCGCAAAACAAATTACCTTTATGACAATATGCGAAAACATGCGTGCTCTGATCAAACATAAAACTGTAGATACGAATATGATATCATACAAAATGGGGGTTATAGAAAGGAACACATTTTAGTACGCACCAAACTATCGATATGAACTGTAGAACTAAAATTCAGTTTTCATAATATAAGTGCGTTATCCATAAAATAAACAACCATTAGGAAGTGTAGCTTAAACACGTTTGGGAGAGTTTGACTTTGTTTATTTGGTGGCTGTACATCAAATGGGCGCTCTTGAGAGCTATTATTCATCAGAGTGTAAACATCGCTTGACATACATACATACAAAACATACATATTTAATCGTCTTTACTTCTTAACTCTTTTGCTAACTTGATGATTCTCTTAATTACAGTCTACACACTCTCAGCTGGAATCAGCAGGAACAATCGTCTCTGTTTGAGCTGCAAACAAACGCGTCGATAAAAACAAAGGCAAACAAATAATAACGTATACTCGAACACATCGGGCGTATACGCTATAAGCAACTTGTTATATTTATCGCAACAATAAACAAAGCTCCCGGGGATCTCCTCCCCGCCCTCGGCCACCGACCAAGAAAGAGGAGAAACGTGAAATGGCTACGCCAGGCGCCGCCGACATGGCAGTCATCTCTAGGTAATGCAAGTGAACAGTTCGCTGTCCAGAACGCTCCGATAGAGATAAACGTTCAAGGATTCACCACACTCAACAAGTGCATTTTAAATACATAGCTCAGGCCAGTTTGCAACAGAATTAATTTGAAGTAGAGTAAGTGCGTAAAAAGTGCTATGGAATGAGTCAGCAGGCGACCGTAACATTTCCAGGGTTCGCATTCAACGCATGTGACAATTTTGGTGTGTCTATTATTTTATGACCTTTTATGGGCATGAATCACATTAGCACAGGCGAATGTTCGCTTTAGGTTTAATTAGCTTTATTAAAGAGAGCAAAGCTCTGTGTGATAGGAATATTTTTACCATTAGAAATTAAATTATAAATTCTCCAGTTTTTCCTACTTGTAAACTGTCAAGTAAGAATATACGCTTATAATAATATCGTTGAAACTTACATCGATCGAAGTACCGAAATTTATTTCAACCAAAAGTCTGTAGTAATAAGTTTAAAAGAGATCTTCAGTATGAGTATTCTATATACTTACATACATACATATTTAATTATTTATTACCTAAAAAAGACAGTACATTCTTTCGATGACAGACTTTCACTGTACACACTGTATAGTATCCAAGATTAATTAATAATTGAATATCAAGTAAGCAAAGACTGACTATTTGCTTGTCTGTTCCAGCCTGTTTGTGTTGGTAGCTCTCTCGTCCAGTTTCTGCTCGGCCGGAACCCTCAACGCCCGTCCTGCTTTCCCCGTGCAAACCGGCCAGATTCAGCCCAGCGCCCAGAGCAGCAAGCAGCCCGGCAGACGCGTCATGAATCCGGCATTTGCCAACGCCGGCCGCACTCCTGGCCTGGAGATCTGGCGCATAGAGGTGAGTCATATTTTGGGGTTTAATTTCAGTCTGTCCGAGTTCGAAGAAGCGTATAAATAGATGGCGCTTGCTAGCATCGCTTGGAAAGAGTTCGCAGCCCACGCACGAATGCGCTGCTTATGCAGTGGCGCCCAGAGGGCTGGGGAGAAAAAAAGCGGGGGTGGCATAGTGGCTCGTGCCGTCAGCTCAGCAGATATTTCCTTTTATTCACTGAAACATCGCTGTGTGGCTGCCATATGTTCTTAAATATATTATTTTTCTCTGGTCTATACGAAAAATGTTTACATTTTGTTAATTAACTCGGACATGGTCGAAATTTATTAGGTTCGAATTGAAATTGAATTGGAATCTTTCTATACCCGTTACTCGTAGAGTAAAGGGGTATATTGAATTCGTGCAAAAGTATGTAACAGGGAGAAGGAAGCGTTTCCGATTCTATACAGTACATATATTCTTGATCAGGGTCAATAGCCGAGTCGATATAGCCATGTCCGTCTGTCCGTCCGTCCGTCCGTATGAACGCTGAGATTTTCCACACATATTCTTGGGCTTCCTACGCAGCGCAAGTTTATTTCAGCCAAGAGCCAAGCCCCCTCTAACGCCCACTATCGCCCACTAACAATTTTAAAAAGTGTCTGACGCCCACACCTTTAAAGATTTCCGAGAAGGTTAAATGCAAATTTGTGTTTTTATACCTATCGAATCAAAAAAATGTTATATATCCATCTCCCTCGCACTCCCTTTAGCCGAGTGACGGGTATTAGATAGTCGGGACACCAACCCGACTATAGCGTTCTCTCTTGTTTGCTTATAACGTCATGCGTGTTCTGCAGAAAATGTTTAGAGTAAAAGTCGTCGATTAAATATTCCCTATCGTTTTGTGTTTGACTCTTTCCAGAATTTCGAGCCCGTTGTCTATCCAAAAAATAACTATGGCAAATTCTACACTGGGGATTCGTTTATAGTTCTTAATGTAAGTATACATGGAACATATAATATATAAGCGTTCTTCCTCGGCTCCCCATTACAACAATAGTTTTTGGAAATACACATTTATTTCTAAAAAGTTCTTTACAGGTCAAAAAAAATGTGACAGAAATTAAATTTTCCATACAAAACTTTAAAAAAATCTATTTTTGAGACCGAATGAACAATTTTCATTTAAGAATTATAACTTCCGTCCATTATATTTGATCTGCTGTGGGGCTTTTAGGTCTCAAATGTGCTTCCCATCGATGTAATAAAACGAAAATTTCAAAATGCGTATTTTAATTTTAGACAATTGAAAGTCAAAAAGACAAGAAACTGTCCTGGGATGTTCACTTTTGGCTGGGATCAGAGACCTCTACCGATGAGGCAGGAGCAGCAGCTATTCTTACCGTCCAGTTGGATGACTTGCTAAATGGTGGTCCTGTCCAACATCGGGAAGTGCAGGACCACGAGTCCCAGTTGTTCCTCGGCTACTTCAAGAACGGTAGAAGTAGTCACATCGAATTAGTGAACCCGTTATAAACTAACATTGTTGCAGGCATTCGCTACGAGCAGGGCGGCGTCGGTACAGGCTTCAAACACGTGCAGACCAATGCCCAGGGGGAAAAGCGACTCTTCCAGGTAAAAGGAAAGCGCAACGTGCGCGTCCGACAGGTGAACCTATCGGTGTCGTCAATGAACAAGGGCGACTGCTTTATTTTGGATGCTGGGAGCGATATATATGTCTTCGTGGGCTCCCAGGCAAAGCGCGTGGAGAAGCTGAAGGCCATCAGTGCTGCGAACCAGATCAGGGACCAGGATCACAACGGACGAGCCCGTGTGCAGATCATCGACGATTTCAGCACTGATTCCGACAAGCAGCAGTTCTTTGACGTACTCGGATCGGGTTCTGCTGACCAGGTGCCCGAGGAGTCTACCGCCGACGAGGACGGCGCGTTTGAGAGGACGGACGCTGCAGCAGTTTCCCTTTACAAGGTTAGCGACGGTAGTGGCAAGCTCCAGGTGGACGCAATTAGCCAAAAACCACTCACTCAGGCTATGCTGGACACTCGCGAATGCTTTATCCTGGACACCGGGTCTGGCATCTTCGTGTGGGTGGGAAAGGGTGCCACACAGAAAGAAAAGACGGACGCTATGTCCAAGGCACAGGAGTTCCTGCGCAGCAAGAAATATCCGGCCTGGACCCAAATTCACCGCATTGTAGAGGGCGCCGAGTCTGCACCATTTAAGCAGTACTTTGCCACTTGGCGTGATGTCGGAATGGCGCATACTCGCCTCATTAGGTCGGCCTTGGACATCGGTTCTGATGAATCTCTTGATGTTGACGAAATCGACGCTGTTATGACTCAGCTTAAGAAAAGCGGCGGTCGTGCCTTCGGCTTTATGCCGGATCATGGTCAGAACAGCATTGAAACCATCACACAGTACGTTGCAAAGCCTGGTTCTGATGAGATCCAGGTCAACACCGTTTCCTTTGAGGAAGGCCTTCCCCTTCTCGGATTCGGTTCATATGTTCTCACTTACAACTACGAGGCCAACAACGGAGACACAGGCTCGGTCACATATGTGTGGCAGGGATTAAAAGCCCCCGCCGCCGTTGAGGAGCGCGCATTCAACGAGGGTCTAGCTGTAGCACGCTCCAAGGTAGGACTTCTTGTGTTGGCAAATCAGGATCATGAGCCGCGCCACTTCTACAAGATCTTCAAGGGAAAGTTGTTAACATCATACACCGCCCTGCCGGTGACGGCGCAGCTGTTCCGCATACGGGGCACCGTCGAAAGCGACATCCATGCCAGCGAGGTACCCGCCGACAGTTCATCCTTAGCCTCGGGTGACGCGTTCGCCCTCCTTTCCGGCAAGTCCCACAAGATCTACATTTGGAACGGCTTAGGTGCATCTGTCTTTGAGAAAAAAGCGGCCCTTGATCGCTTCTCGATCTACTGGGAGGACGTCGAGATTGAGCAGGTGGAAGAGGGTGCGGAGCCTGAAGAGTTCTGGGATGAGTTAAACGGCGAGGGCCAGTACGATCGCAGCTTGGGCGACCTCGGAGCTCCGCTGCTGGAGTCGCGCCTCTTCCATTGTCGAGTGAGCTCTGCCGGACTTGTGCGGGTTGAGGAAGTGGCTAAGTACGAGCAGGAGGACTTGGACTCCGATGACATCATGCTGCTGGATGCTGGGGACGAGATCTACCTGTGGGTCGGGTCTGGCGCCTCTGAGGAGGAAAATCAGAAGATTCTAGACATGGCTAAGGTTATCTTTCACACACCTCCCACTCTGTTCCGCTTCTTATTCCACATTCTTTCTTAATTTACAGCGGTATATCTTATTGGAACCCACTGCTCGCTCCTTTGACACAGTTAGCATCATCCGCGTCCCCCAGGGCAAGGAGCCAAACGTTTTTAAGCGCATGTTCCCGGACTGGGACGACCATTACTGGAAGGTAGGTCATTGCGCTAGTCTTCGTTAAATTACTTGTTGCTTTTCGACAAATATTGCTTTATTGTTCTTTAAAAATAACACAGTTTAAGTCACGTCATTAAAAATACTAAAAACTGTCTCCCACACGATCCGTAAGTTAACTACTAATATGTACATTTAACTTACATACCTTACATATGTAAACTTTCTGAAGTGGATTCGGTGATAAAGCTAATATGTATTAAAAAATGTTTACAATATTTTTTGTATAATCTGCAGAACCTGCCCTCCTATGAAGACATAAGACGAAATGTTAATGATGCCAACAATGAAGTCTAAGTGCACTGATTTAATTTTCAGAAAAATAACCAAATATGTTTTTGTTTTTGCCTTTTTAAAATGTGTATTTTATGTAACTTTATAATAAATCTAACTTTACAAAATAGTTTCAATTACTATCTTATAAAACTTCACATTCGCAATAAAAAACAAGAGAGAACGCTATAGTCGGGTTGGTGTCCCGACTATCTAATACCCGTTACTCGGCTAAAGGGAGTGTGAGGGAGATGGATATATAACCTTTTTTTGATTGCGCATATCTTTTTAATTTATGATCCGATATGAAAAATGTCTTTTGCACTTTGATAGGTATAAATATACACAACAAAATTGCATTTATACTTCTCGGAAATCTTAAAGGTATGGGCGCCAGACACATTTTAAAATCGTTAGTGGGCGATTGTGGGCGTTAGAGCGGGCGTGGCTCTCGGCTAAAATAAACTTGCGCTGCGTAAGAAGCCCAAGAATATGTGTGGGAAATCTCAACCTTCTAGCTTTTGTAGTTTCCGAGATCTCAGCGTTCATACGGACAGACAGACAGACGGAAAGACGGACAGACAGTAGGACAGACAGACGGACAGACGGACTTGGCTATATCGACTCGGCTATTGACCCTGATCAAGAATATACAACCCTAGTCAAAAGTATTTTCACAAATTTGAATGTTAACTGTACTCATATTTTGAACTTATAATATAAACATTTTGGCACCTTTGGAAAGAGCACTTCAATTCCGTTTAAATGACACAAAAATTTTCTTAACCCATTAAGCACTCTTGGAAAAGTGGGCAAATTATACAATTTTTTTTGAAAGTCAAATTTTCAACTTTTTCTCTGGGGCTTAAAACGAAAATGTTTTCATGCAAAGTTGTTCCCCAATCAAAATAAATAATAACTGCAAAAAAAAAAATTTCAAAATATTTTTCCTTGTATTTTATGATTTTTTGAAAATAGCTATTTTTGCCGCTTTTTCTTCCTTTTCATACAAAATTTTACTGAGAGGTTTCCATTCAAAAAATCATAAAAAATACAAGGAAAAATATTTTGAAAATTTTTTTTTTGCAGTTATTATTAATTTAGATTGCGGAACAACTTTGCATCAAAACATTTATGTTTTAAGCCCCAGGAAAAAAGATGAAAATTTGACTTTCGCAAAATTTGATCACTTTTCAAAGGGGTCTTAATGGGTTAAGAAAATTTTTGTGTCATTTAAACGGAATTGAAGTGCTCTTTCTATAGGTGCCAAAAGTTTATATTATAAGTTCAAAATATAAGTACAGTTAACATTAACATTTGTGAAAATACTTTTGACCACCCCTGTATGTACTTGATAGGGTCGGAAACGCTTCCTTCTCCCTGTTACATACTTTTGCACGAATACAATATTCCCTTTTACTTTACGAGTAACGGGTATAACAATCGATCGCTTCGACTATCAAAAACCCGTTAATCAGATAAACCAGGGACCGTGAATAATCATTATTTATTTTTTTTGTGACAAAAAAATCATGGTCAATGAAAAATCCTAGAAAAAAGAACTATACCATTAAACTTTTTAAGCGCCATAGAATATACATAGCTAAGTAGAGAAAGTATCAACCAGAGCTTGCAAATAACTGTCAACCGATTTTCCTAAGGCAGTTTAATCTCGACAAAACCGAAAAAAATGTTGCTCACAAACTCTCTCTCTGAGCGGAACCCTTTTTTAGTTTTGCTTGTCGGTTTCGGTCCGACCGTTCGGCTCAACCGAACAAAGCAATCGGTCTTTCAATAACCACTCGGTGAGACCCTTTTAAGTTAACAGTCACCTAAAAGGGTTTCTGAAAGACTACTGTTAAATAAAAGTCAAAAAAATGGGTTTTCTCTCGAAAGGAAAAAGTATAGGCCTGCTGTGATATGTGCATAAATTTTACATAGGAAATCAAGACAATTATAAAATTGCATTGTACAATGTACATATAAATGTACATATATAAAATTGTATTCTGAATTTAGGTAAGGTGCTATTTTTTTGTTTGCTTCAATATATTTATTGACTATATAAGGAACTATCTTTAATAAGAAATGCCATAAAGAAACGAATTACCTTTCAAATGAGCTATACCATAAGAATAAATGAGAACTACACTCATAAAAATTAATTTCTAAATTTTGGAAATCTCGCCATTGAATAGAAAAAAATACCTTTGAAAATAGAAAAAAAATTTCTTGTTATTAGAAAATTGTCCTTTGAATACAGAAAACCTTTCTTGATGGAAAAAATTCAAGAAAGAATTTTTCTTAAAAATAGAAAAATGAAAATCTCATATGTTTGTTTTGCCGTCGCAGCCAAAACATTTTTGTACGTATTTAAGGACAAAATCACCTTTGAATATATGAATGAAATGACCCTAGAATATAGGAAAGTAGCCATTGACTTTCTTCGGCTGCCGAATGTTAACGACAAGAAAAACGAAGTGGGACGAAGGGCCTACTCGGCCCGACTACTACCCGGCTACCGACTTCTCTGATCCCCCGAGCGTCAGTTATAAAAGAAATTCGTGAGTGATGAACGTGAAGCCTTTTTCCGAATATTCAAAGGTATGTAAATATGTATATAATTTTTTGTATAGCGGGCGTACAATTGTATGTATGTAATTAAAGGATACATTTCAAATCTCTTTACCAAGCGTATACCAATTTAGGTGAATTGTTTTTTAGCTAAGAGCTACGTACATACATACATTTGTACATAAATTTGTGGGTGTACAGTTCTATAATAACTTTATCTTATTACTCGCATTTTATTTATTTTTCAGAGTGAAAATACCTGCAGTTGCATCAGCGAAATAATTTGTTTGTAATTTTGTGTTAAAACCTTCTAAGGTAAGAAAAATATGTTGTATTTGTTTGACATACTTATGTATGCATGTACGCGGCTCACCCGATCTGAAACCCGATTTTCAACCCTTTCACATTCTGCTCCTCTCTCTCGCTCGCTTGACCTACGCGTCGCGACGTTTCTCTCTTCTCCTTCTTAAAACTGACACGATCTGCCCTGCTTACATTCGGTCTCCCTTCGCGCAAAGGACTGTATGTAAATATATATGTATGTATGTACGTGTCTCTCCAGTGCCTCTCTCTCTCTGAAATTCGATTTTCAACCCTTCATTTTCTACCTGTCTTGCTCCTCTCTCTCGGTCGTCTGTCCAACGTGTTTGTATTTTGGCTATTATTAACATTACATTATTTCAAAAAAGTTGTTTATCTAAAAACAAATCATTGATATCCCAATAACTCTTTTTTTATAGATGAGGAAAGGCGAAGAAAATGGATCACCTTAGGTCATATGAAGTTCAACAGACCTTGGGTAATAATAATGTTTTCTTGAGTCAAAAATGTGTTATTTAAAAATGTTTAAATGTTAAGTGTTAAATGTTTTAAATGTAAATAAATATAATATGCAAAAGAAAAAACCAAGTTACATTTTATTTTTAAGGGTTTCAGTGTTAATATAAAACTTCCTTTCAAGAAATAAAATTTCTTAAATCAAGAAATACAATTTCTTGAAAGGAAATTTGTACAAGAAAGAATTTTTCTTGTTTAAAAGGTGCCTTTCTAAAAAACCCTTTCTTGAAACAAGAAATTTAATTTCTTAAAACAAGAAACAAACCACCTTTGAAACAAGAATCGCCTTTCTTGTTTTAAGAAATATTTTTTCTTGTTTTTATGGTGGCTTTCTAAAAAACCCTTTCTTGAAACAAAGGTGAGGTCGCCTTTGGCAAAAATTCAAGAAAGAATTTTCTAGATTTTAAGGAAATTCTTCGATTTTTTTTTATGAGTGTACCATAAGTCTTAAGATAAAAAATGGCTCAAAGTATACCAACCAAGCCTATTGCTACAAAATGGATCGCGCGTTCCTTCAAATCTTTCGAAATATTTTGAATAAAACCAAATAATGTTGTGAAGATATTCTTAAATAGTTAGGAATTGATTTAAAGCTACATAAACAAAATTTGAAACTGCTAAAGGAGGTTTAACCTGTTAAAAAGCTCTAATTTTTCTTGCAGCTTATAAGATTCGCTTCTTATTAGGGGCTGTCCATATATTACGTAATCACGTTTTTGGTGATTTTTGACCCCCTCCCCCCCCTGGTGATCAAACGTAATCATTCAATAAACAACCCCCCCAATGATTACGTAATCCCCAGAATAAAATTTTGTTTGTTTTAATCTGTGGATTCAAACGGAGATGCAACCCAATCTTTAATATTGTTTATAAATGAAGTTTGGTATGACACATTCGGTTCGTCTACGCTGATATTATCCCCAACATACTCTTCGTCAAGCCATTCCAGGTCTTCGCATCCTTCGTGTGATTGAACCACTAAACATTCTCTTTTTTCGCCGCCCAGCCACTACAAAAATTTTTTCTCTGCTTTCCTATTTAAGTTTGTAGCAGGGACCGTAACTGTTATAAGTTTTATTTTAAAAATCACACTTTAACAGTTATTTTCTGATTTGTAAAGTAAAACTCAAGGAATAACTGTTATTTTTTGAGTTTTATAATAAAAGTTGGCAAATAACAGTTATTCGTCGTGATCAAAAATAAAACTCAAACTTGATTTATGGCGATTTTGTGGGTAAAATAAATTTAAAAAAATATAGGTATAAAATATGCACGGTTGCCTTTTTTAACAAATTTTTAGTAAGTTATATAAAGCACGGGAATCATGTTTTTTTTTAATTATTTCATTTTTTCAAAAATGTCAAGGGAATAACTGTTATTCATAAAAATCAAAAAATAACAGTTATTTTTTGAGTTTTATTATAAAAATCAAAAAATAAAAATCATTACGGATTTGTAAACTACAATGCGTGATTTTTTTGTATGAAAAATTTACAATAACACTTATTTTTGGTCCCTAGTTTGTAGATATAATTAAAGGAAAAAAGTTTTTAAATAAATTCTTTAAATAAAGAAATTAATATAAAATGATTACGTAATCATTGTACAAGACCCCCCCCTCCCCATGTAATCAAACATAATCACTTCAATGACCCCCTCCCCCCCCCTAGGTGATTACGTAATATATGGACAGCCCCTTACGTGGATTTGGTTATTAAT